TTCTTTGAATATGGGAAGGATGTAAAAGGTTTTGAAAATTATAAATCATTTGGCAATACCATAAAATTAAGTAATGGAATAATTCCTATTACGATTAAACAATACAGTACATGTTTATAAATATGAAATTGAACATGTGTTTGGCATTATAATTCATTGAATGTTGTTATTTGAACATCTGTGTCAGCAAAATGCATGAGTACGAATACACACTTCGTTTACAAGTGTTTTAGTAATTCTTGAGAAGAACAGAGAAAATATGTTGAATATTTTCCACATCACCGGTATTCATGTGAAACAACATTTCTTGTTTTGCACTGAAGTTTATGGGAAGCATTTGTCCAGAGGCAGTGATGTTGGGTACTCACAGCATTTAGAATTCAAAAAAATAATTTGAAGGGAAATAGAAGATAATTTTTCACTTAACACAAAACGAACTACTCAAATTAGACTTTCTACAATTGGTTGTTAAACAACAAAATTTGTGTTTTTTTAAGTTTTTTTCTCAAGGTTTTTTTTTAATTCAAGTTTCGATAAAATATTTGCAGGTAAACATAAAAATTCTTACTTCTGTTTCAAAACAAAAATCAATTTTTTCTATTCGAAGATTTCCAATTCGATAAAAATAAAAAACATCGTTTTCGTGTCGAAGTCCGACAAATGCTAATCAACCGTAGCACAATTAGTTTAATGCCTTTCGTTTTAAATGCTACTGCTTAATCGGATTATCTGAATTCAGTAGTCCTCAAATGTTGGGAACTGTTTTTATTATCTTTCGATGGCACAATTTTAAAATGTTATCAGGATGCAGAGAGAGATATTTATCATACATATGTTGCAAATAATTGTTTAAAATAAAATACCTTGTTTTTTTGTGGTCTTTCTAAAATCATTTAAAAAAATGTGTTAAAAACATGCTTGAACAAATTTTTTTAACAAAAACGACTTCGTGACGTACGTAATAGACAAAAAAAGAATAAGTTTACTCGTCCAAAACTTACTTCTCCAAAAATAGTACTTAAATACAGAGTAATATTCCATAATATTCACTACAATGTCTATATAACGTCATTATGAGTAACAGTGACTCAAGGTGACAACATCGCATAATAATATAGGAAGAAGCTGATACAGATTATTATTATTATTCAGATTATTTTAGGAGAAAATTTTCAAGTCAATAATATGTGAAGAAATATATACCATCGAAAGATTAATTGAATTTGCGAAATTTACAATAAACACCTACTCACTGGTGTTCCCCATTCTTTTCTAATAACTTAATTTCACCAATATTAAGGTTTACCATTTTCTTTTGCTCTAACACAAATTACTCTAGCTGGAAGGGTATAATCTTCACGAATCTTCTGATCTGGTTTCAACATTAAAATGAAGGTGATAATGATGGCCGATCTAACGGAGTCAATTTCCATGCCCCTAATTTTGCAATATCAAGGGATATTGACAACGCTCCTTAATTTTTTGTTTTGGTATCGATGGATTACTTCATAATTGCTCTTACTGGCACACAATCTCACAGCTAGATGTCGTATGTCCATACAGGGATGAGAATTTGTTTATAAAAAAGCACTTTGTTATAAATTGACCGGATGGAGTATTGTACAAGCAGCCAACACATCTTTTTAAAATGTAATGCCATCTTCTTTTTTCTTTTTGACATGCTCTTTCCAACAATATGTCGATCTATATTTGTAAAATTAATGTGGGCATATTTAGCCTCATTTAAATTGATTCTCTATTGCTTGGTTCAGTTGCTAATTTTGTAAACTGATGTTTGTATATCAGATGCAGTATTGATCATGCCTCGATCAACATCGTATCATGCTCTAATTTACGAATATCGCTGGTATATATTAGGTAAAAAATAGCCAACTCAAGCCACAAGTCTAATAAATGTATGACATTGACAAATAATTAGTTCCATATTAAATTTGAACAATATATATTATATCTTCAAATGAATATCTATTAGGAAGTTAAGCTTTACAATGAAATATTTGTTGGTCTTCCACAACTTAATATTGATGAACGAACGCTATTATATTTAACCAGCCCGTATAAGGATAGTGCAAGATGTTGAGTTCCCAGAACATGAAACTAGTTTGTACAGTAAGAGAAAGCAAAAGATTCCTAACAAAATGTCATGCAGGATATTAAAAAGAGCGACTTGAGCCATCCACCAATTTTACATTTAATTGTGATGCAACAATGGCACAGGATTTTCAGGAATTTCCAGAGAATTTATTAAATCCAAATTTCTAAGAATGTGCAAATATATCCAGAGATCATTAAAAATATCTAAAACTTGCTAAACATAGAGGAATCTTTTAAATTAATACAGAAAATGTAAAAAATATCAACAAAGCAAAGAATTAAGGAGCACTGTCAATGCCCCTTGATATTCGAGAAATAATGACATTCATAATGCTTTCAAAAATACTTGTGTGTAGCCACAGAAGTTAAAGTATCTAATCATTTTCAAAAATCCTTAAGACTAATTTCCGGAATATATCTAGAAAATTCTTAAGAATTTCCAGAGAACTTATAAAAGTATTCGTCAAGTATTCAAATATTTTTAAGAATTTGCAAATATATTCAAGACTTCCTAGCGACCGTCCAGTCATTTTTCCAATTGTTTCCAGAGAATTTATCAGGATTGCTAGGGTTGTCACAAATTTCTAAATCTATCCAGAAACTTCTAAAATTTTCCTGGGATTTTTTAGGATTTTTCAAAAATGTTCTAATGCTTACACAGGTTTCCAAGTATTTTTAGAGGATGTTAAATGATTTCCTAAAGCATTTTTCAGAATAATTAAGAATTTTTAGAGATTTCGAGAGGAGATCCATTAATTATTAAGAAATTATTTAAGAAAGCTGCAGAAGTCCTAAGAATTTTAAAATTTATTCATATATTTCTAACGATTTTCATAGGTTTCCAAGGACGTCCATATATACCTATGGAATTCCAAATATTTCTAGATATTTTCAAAGATTTTTAAAGCGTTGAAGAGTAAAGTGATCGTGAGCATAATCAAGTACTTTAATAAAACTAGATGTGGAGTAAAGATGTGAGGAATAAAATGTTAGGGAAAGATACACACCCATCTTTCAGAAAAAAGAAACAATATAGAAAATTTTTGAACATCTCACTATTTGTATGTGTACCCTTGTGTACTCAAAGATGAAAACATAATTTTTAAAAGTAATTTGTTAGTAATCATACCATATATATTTTCATTTAACATAATTAAGTATACAAGACATGTAGACAAGCAAAAACCGAAAAAAATTAGTTCCAGTGGCTGGGCGGACCTAGAAGCACGGTCGTAAATCTACCAGACCCATCCAACCATCCGGAAAGCGCTTATTTAGGTTAGCTTGTATTGGGCAGCTAAAATGCGGTGGCCTCCTAATTTAAAAACTTAACATGCGGTTTGTATTGATGCATGACGCAACAAATCATTTAAAATTTCTTGTAAAAAATTAATATTAACTTGCTAATCAATTAATTAAAAAAATGTAAGAAAAAAACTTTAGGAATTTGATGTCATCTTCTTGCTTGATTTGAGAGTCATTTGCATCATGCAAATTGACCTTCGTAAGTAAATAAAGTTTGATCACAATTTGCATCTTTGTTGTTATCTTGTTGATTAATTAATCAAATTGAAGCCTCAAGTTTGGGAGAATAACATTTGCAAATAAATGTTGTTTTTACATAAACTAAGTTTATAAGGAATTATAGAATAACCTAAAAATAATCTCAAATACCTTAAAAGGACAAAGAGTTTCTATGAAACTCATTTCCTATTAAACTTAAATCCCAATTAAAATTAACCTAATTCGAAAAACTAAATTTCAAGAAATAAACTCCTTTCATTTATGAGATAAACAAAAAGCTTCCATACAAACTCATTTTGTGTTAAACACTGCCGACATCTTTCGGGTTAATGAGATTTCTATCTATTTATAGATCTTTAAAGTGGGGGATGTTCTCCAAGTTATTTATACTTTGGATCCCTACGTCAACCAATGTATTGATAAAACCTACCAAAGTAAATAGAACCAAGGATTCCTTTTTCTTTCGCTATTTCTTTTACAAAAACATTTTTTAATCTAATTTTAAACGGTAAAGTGATGCGTTTTAATCAAAACTCTTTCATAAGCAACTTCGGATTGGTGAAGTAAGCAATAATAAGAACTTATGCAATAGAAAACTTTCATTATGTTGCGTTTTAATTTCATCATCTCTTTAAGACTCTTGCGCCTCCGTTTTTGATGGTTTTTTAACAAAAATAAAAAGTGTTACTAATAAAATCGATAAAATAAATAGAATTCGTAACTGATTATAAAACCGATAAACGATTACTGATATTAAAATACCAATAGAGTTAAATCAATATTTGAAAATTGATAACCTTGTACACTACTAAATTATATAAGCAATTACTTTGCAAAATTTATTTAAAAATTTTATAGAGGTCTTCCTAAAAGGTTAATTCAATTTCCTTTTTTGTTGATATAAAAATTACTTACAAACACTTCTCTAAACGGATACTTCGAGTCATTTTAAAATATTCAAATAGAACTCCACCAAGCCAAAGCACGTGTTCTTTCTTGGCACTTGGCACTCACCTAACACAATTGATAAATTACATTCCCGAGCAATTTCTAACCGACTATTCCATGAGAACAGCTGTGTTTGTAGTTAATCATAGAGTTAATAGACAAATTTATTTCGTTGTAAATTAGCTATAAAAAATAATTTAAAACTTTCTTTAAATTAAAATGATATTTAAACCGATCTCATCAATCAAAATGTGTCCAAAAATACGTTTTCAGTAAAAAAAATTTTAAAAGATAAATTTAATAGAAAAATATAAATTGCATGAAACTCCGAAAGGATTATATATCTTGGACTTGTGAACGACCTGTGACATTGATAAAAAGGCGAAATAAATCAGACATAAATACACTCGCTTAATTACAAAGTCATCCAGTAATATTCAAACCAGATTGCTTGAAGTACATCAAAATTTGAAGTTATTAAGTTTTCAATAATGTTACAGTTTGTTGGTTTTGTTCTTATAACAGAATTTTTTAGTGCCATATTATTTTTTTATTTCTTTCAATGTTTCTTTTACATCCCTGTACCAATCATTTAATTAAGCAAAATTGCAGAAAAAGAATTATAATCGTAAGTAAACATATTTTTATGAACTAAATAAATATTTTTATGCAAAAATGTACTTAATTGATATTGTTATTTCAAAAACAAATTTATTATGCATTGTTTTTTAGCGATTAGCAAAAATAGTTGAAATTGTAAGTGTTTGTCGATTAAATAATTCAATAAGAAAAATGCAAATTTTAAATTAGTAAAATATTTAGTAAAAAAGCACGTACAACCTAACACTTAAAATGATTGTGAAAACCTTGTACAAATTTCGATAAAATTCTTCAAATTAATGAGTAATTTTAAGAAAATTTATTTTAATTTTGTTATAATTCTTATAAAAAGTTACTACAAAATTTGAGAATTAGCCACGAATAATGTTTGTGGTAGGATCTAAAATATAAACCCCGATAGTAAAAATTTAAAAAAATATATAAAGAACATTTTTAATTAGCAAAAATTGTAAATTTTTTAGTTAATAAATTCTCTTCCAAAGGACCAGAGAGAGTTTGCACAGAGAATGTATATGCTATACGCTAGAGCAACATCAAAGCCAGAGCCCAACAACATTGTGACCGTCATCGTTTACCAGGTAGAAAGGAACGTGACGTAATTGGTTGTCACATTAACTTGTAACGAAGCTTTTGAAGTCTAACCAACTTTTCAAACTGTTGTATTATTTTTGTATTTAATGAAAGTCATAATTAAAAACCTTTGAAATGAAAGGAAAAGTTGTAAATAATTTTTACCTGGCTCTTTGTAGCATCAATTTCGACCCAGAGGTGGAGGAAACTTTCAGAGCCACTAAGATGATCTACTGCATCTTGGTTAAGTCGTTAATAAAAGTTTTGAACCAAAAAAATTTTAAGTATACGATTAAAAAATTCGAAAAGTTTTACTAAAAAATAATAAAGCTGGAAATCAGAAAGTTGTGCACATGACTTGACGTGAGAATAAAAAAAAGCTTTACTGCCGTGGTGCAATCACATATTGTTGCTATATATACTAGATCACACTTGAAATTGCTTGCCAAGATTCCATCAATAAAGTAAACCATGCCTAAATAATTTGGACTTACAAACATTATTACAACCCAGCTTCCTAATCTAGAACAGCTATTTTTTAACAAATATCTTTATTCAAAAATCTGCAGAGAATGTGATATATCTGTGTATTTACCAACAAACATTCCAAACAGATGTCGACCAAGTCACAATACGTTTGCCAATGTTAAGAAAAGACAATAGCTTTTATCCAATGAAAACGTTTAATCCATCTTGCACAGTCGTTATTATGCACCAGTAACTTTTTAATATTTGTTAGACACGCGAATAATGTCATAGATAAATGATGTTTAAATGACGCACCTTTAAGTATCACCTTTTTTAATGCTGTAATTACGACAAACTGTATAAAAAAGGCGAAACATAAACGTTGTTTATGCGCCATCTGATGTGTAAGCGATTAAGGAAATATGAAACGATAATAATAACTGATAATATACAGGAAGGTAGGTAATATGGGATAAATCAACAACATCCCACGATGAAATGGACCATTTTTCGATGAAAGGATAAAATCGATGAACGTGAAAAGGAGCTTGCTACAAATTTAATATCGGAAATATTTTTTACTATGAGGATCGCGCCTTAAAAAAGAACCACCGTGGTGAAATACTGGCAAACATCGTGTTTACGAAAAATTGCGAAATGTCACAAATAACAGAATGTTTTTTATTTAATACAATAATAAAAAGGCATTTTATAATAAACGTGTAATATCCATTTAATTTTATTAAATTTGCCTGTTTTAAATGTTATTTAATAGATTATAACTAGATGCTAGATTTTTAATGAAATTGTTTTTGTAATTATTTGTTATTTTTGTTTGTATTTTTTGTAATTTCTACTAGTTATAGAAAATAGTGAATAATTTTTGGAAAGTCATGGAGTGAGATAGGCTCCTATCTCACTCCATCAACTTTTTGATCTTATTACTAAGGTTGGTTGTCAAGACCTTCAGATGTCATATATTGGAATGACACGCCAAATAAATATTGTCATATAAACTTTCACAACATCAAGGGAATGTTAGAAGTCTTAAAAAAACTACTGCGTTTAATTAATATCAGACAATAACCATTTCATAGACGTTGATGAAATTGAATAAAAAATCAGTTTTTCAATCATCTCAAAAAAATGTTTCATATTTTCAACAGCATTTATACTCTAAATATCAAACAGACTTCTAAGGTTTAAGTACTGCCACACTGCTTAGTTTCCCAGCCTTCGTTCGATGGATTCGCTATTTAGTCTGATCAGTTCTGTCATCAGCCATTTACTTGTTTTTTTTTTAATAATTTGTAATACAAGACGTCCTATTTCTTGTTATCACCAACTATCACGAAAAAGCAACAATTTGCCAGAAGAAGTGTAGAAGTGGGTAGGTATTTCTAAAATGGGTATTTATCCGGGTATTTACGCAGGCCCAGGGTAAATACCCAAACAGTGAGTATAAAAGTGATGCCAGTAAAAATATATCAGATTCCAAAAAAATTAAGAGGACGATGATGAGGACGTTGAAGACGAGGAATTGTCAACAATCAAAGACGTATTAACATTAGACGAATCTGTCGTTATTTAGATTAGATCAAGTTATTATGATTACTATCATCAAGCAGCCCTCTGCGTCCATTGTTGGGCATAGACCTCCCCTATTCTGTTGCATTCGATTCTATTCTGTGCTGTTTGAATCCAATTGTTGGTCATTCTTTTGACGTCTACTTCGTCTGTTCACTCGCGGTCTCCACTCAAACAACCGTTTTGTATACTGCTCATTCTTCATTCGCGCGACATGACCCGCCCAGTTCCACTTAAGCTTTGCCACAATGTTGACCACATCATTTACGCCAGTTCTTCTTCATAGGTCTTCATTTCGTATGTAGTCTCTCAGTTAAAGTTTCGGAGCCTTACGTCATAACCAGAAACACGCATTGATTGAAAGCCTTTCTTGGCCTTTTCTCTTGAAGATGTCTCTAAGTTTCCCGTAGGCTGTCCATACGAGTGTGATCCTTCTGTTTAGTTCGCTTGTTTGATTACCTCTCGATACACGCACCTCATAGCCAAGATATACATAGCTGTCAACCCTCTCAATCTCATTATCCCCAATGTTGATGTTAGAGCTGGGAACAAGATGTATCATAAATTCTGATCCTAAATCCTTCCACACACCTCCTTTAAGTCGTTCAGCATTAGTTTAATCTCTCCAACACTATCCGATATAACAACTATATCGTCCGCGTAGCGCTAATTACTTAAGCATTTGCAATCAATGTTTATGCCTTTTTGGGTCCAATCCAGTTGTTTAAATTCAGTCTGAGGACTGTGATGAACAATTTGGGTTCAACAGTGTATCGCTTTGTTTTACTCACAATCGGTACTTTACTACTTCTACTCTCTTCAGCACTTTCATGCAATTTTACCGTCATTGTAGCATTTTTGTAGATGTTATAAATAAGTTTGGTATATCGATAATCGACTCTGCATTCTTGAAGTGCTTGCAAAACTGCCATCAACTTAATTTAAATTAAATTTTATTAATACCTCTAAATACCTTTTTAATCCAGGAAATTTACCTTTGAATATAAATATCCGGGTATTTAACAACACTGGTTCCTTGACATACATCATTTTCAAGATTGGATCAGCGTATTCACATACTGGTAAATTCCAAGTGAAGAAAAAAATTTCACAAATCAAATTTGTCAATCATTGGACAAATGATAATAGTTAGTAATTGGATATTGTAATAATACCAAGACCCATAACATATGTTCCATATTTACTTTTTATTACAACCCTTTTCGATTTTTGAGATTAATCTATATTTACATCTTACACTCCTATAAATCGTAAAATGTCAGTAAGTCATATCTTTCATTTCTGTGAAGTGTGACGCATACGAAATTTACAGAAGATTAAGAAAATATAATTATATATTCGTAGTTGGGCAATTATCGGACTGCGACATTTCATCTGTTGATATGTTGTGGTGGGGAGTTTCCCAACTTTGTTTCAAATTTTTTTTCTATAGAATCCAGTCTTCGGCGTATCACAATACGTAATAAAGAGTGAGTTGTACTATCTTTGCTGTACCTTTATAATTTATTCCGCTTCTATCATTTTCATCTTCTTTATTTCGAACCATGGAAGTCGAAGTTGAGATGATCCCACACAATCATTCACTTTCAATCATTTTATATCGATGGTGTTAGGTAGAATTCGGCGATGTCTACGGTTATACCATCTCTCAGCAAATTGTAACTTGGGGGACTTATAGCGTAGAATCGGCAACGTTCATAATAATGCCGTAATAGGAAAATAGCGGTTAAAAGTATGATTAAATTTGCTACAATCGAGTTTATTCCTCAAAAATGAGATCACACAGGCCGGATGCTAACTGAAACCAAACATAACACATACACGAGTACTTGCTTATTATTCAGTCAGGCTAACAACGCCAAATATAACTCAAATATTTTAATTAGAAGCCATACTTTATGTTATAACTGTTAAACCAGGTTTTCATCAGGTGAAGTAGACATAATTTTAAATCCCACTCTTTTATTCGGGGACTCCTCAATACTCTATGTATATAATTTTAAATTAAAAAACTGAAAATTTGAACAATCATTTAAAATTCTTAACCATGCCAAAAAACTAAATGGAATGAAAAACATCTTAAGTACACGCAAACACAAAGTTATTCGAAATACTTCATGAAATATTTCGCCTTTTTTCTATAAATTCAACCTAGCATTAAAAGAATAACATTAAATACCCAAAGAACATTAAAGAAATAGCAACCAGATTAACATTAATTAACTAAATAAATGATCAAAGGAAAGGTTCGATAAAATTAAAAGTTTCAAGTTCATTTTACGCACATAAAACTCGAACCAAAACTTGAAAGGGATATTTTTAGAGTTCTGCGCAGCCAAAATATAAAAGTTTTCATAACTCCACAGTTATATTTTAAAAACTTTCTTTAAGTAGGTATTAAAATAAACTGTGTAAAAATAGAAATCAGAAAAACAATGATTAGAAAATTTTTAATCTCATTATGTTATCAGTATAACTCAAAATTAGAATTGACAGAACTTCAAATTAATAATAGAAATGATTTTTTTTAAATTTTTATGATCAATAATTAAACAAAATTTTAGTTTGAAAGGAAAAAAATGTAGAACTTTTAGGATGCGCTATATATTTGTACGGGAATGAGAAACTACTGAATAATTACAAAAAACACTGATAACGTCCTTTAACGCTACTAAAAGATTACGCTGGCGAAGTGACGCAACGAAACGACACGTGATGGTATAGATGGCGTTGCCGTGTCCTGGTTGCCGACTGATATTCTAACTTTATCGATCGCACTGTAGTTTTAAAGGGTTACACTTTGCAATTTTTAATGAATCATTAAAAAATTGCTAATGTATGATAAATGACGTAAATAGCAAAATATTTTTTATATTAATGGCTATTATTAAATTGTATATTAAGATTATTTGGATTAAATGATTTGATTTTTTTATAAGATTACCTAGATTAAGGTTGTTTGATATAAAAAACAAAAGAATCCTTAAAAACAGTTAATTATCTGAGTAGAAGTCGTTCAATTGTTACTAAAAACGAAAGCTATCGACAACGCGGACTCCCCTACGTCGTTCTTGTTTGGACGAGTCCAGTCTACTCCCCACTTCGCGAGCAGCTGTGTATTCCACAGTGCACATTCGGTTTCCGTTCGATACGTATCCTCGCCCGTTTTACTACATTATTCTATATTATTCTATATCATTTTCCGCGTTTTTTTCGTTACCACGTCCGTGCTCTCAAATCATTGAAACAGCAAACGAAAAAAAAACTTGCGCGCGCGCATTTACGCAATCAAACCAAAAATATTGAATAAACGAAAACGACTTTTTAAAAGGAAAAAAACGGTTTTTCTAAAATGGCCACGAGCCGAATCGGTAAGTGTTTTGTTAAGAAGAAAAAATAAATAAGAAAATAGTGTGCGGAAAATAGTATTTTTTTAGAATATTAAAAAGGTCATAGTATGTTTGACGTAAATGATTATTGTTGTTTGTATGATTCCTTAGACTTGTTTTTGTAATTTTTATTTCTTTGTGGATTAGGTTAAAAGGATTTTTTTACCACCATGCCTAGTAGAAGATGGATCTTTTCCGGCTGACATATGCCGGCGTTACTTTTCTTATCCTGGTACTTGTGACACCAACAATCGTCATAAGTCACAACAGGCATGGTAGAATAACGACGGGATGTAACAAAAATGGCACAAATGTTTGGTGCTACAAGCACCAAGCAGCCACAGAAAACGATTTTTTAAATGTAGAACATATGAAGCATCTATCCTGGACGGAAAGTAATCTAACTGATTTGAATCGATCTATTAAAAATGGTGAAAATTTAGAAAGTTTGAACGTTTCGAGTAACGAAATCGTTTTGCGTAACGATACATTAAAAAATTTTGCAACTTTAAAAATTCTCGATGTTTCATACAATAAAATCAACGATCTTCCGCGCCACGTTTTTTCGAATCTCTTTTTAACTCATCTCGATTTATCACACAACGAGCTCCGAGTGATGCCCTTCCAAGTATTCCACCCGCTAAGAGATTTAAAAATTCTCGACATCTCTTACAATTACATCGTTACAATTCTAGATCATTTCTTCAAATTCAACAAGTACATCGAAGAGCTTTACTTGAATAACAACAAAATAGCGAAACTTACTTCAAACGCACTGGAAGATTTGAGCGATTTGAAACGCTTGGATCTGTCTAATAATTCGTTGACGTCCATAGCGAAAGGTCTTTTCGATTCGTTAAACAAATTGGAATATTTAAATTTGGCCGGTAACCCGATTGTAAATTTGGCGAGCGGAACGTTCAGGAGTCTCCAAAGTCTAACCCACCTAAATCTGAGCGACAACAAACTCAAGCAGTTGACCTTCGGCCTGTTTCATTTTAGTCAACGAATAATCTCGCTCACTTTAGACAACACTCAAATAGAAACTATCCATAACACCGAACTACTCGGATTGCCACACTTACGGCATTTGTACATTAGAGACAACGAGTTCCTAAAAGAAATCGAAACGTACGTTTTTGACGATACGCCATTAATCGAAACGTTAAACATCAGCGGCAATCAATTGACATTTTTACCTCTGTCATTATCTAACTTAACCAAAATAAAAAAGCTAGACATTTCCGATAATCATTGGGCATGCGATTGTAGAATGTTTTGGTTTGCACCTTGGGTGGAAGAAAGAAAAAATATAGTTGAATTTTCCGAATTGAGGTGCGGACCCCATTCGTATCCGGATGATATGATAACACCGTTACAACATTTAAATTGTACGGGACCTACCATTATGTACAAAACGCCTACGAAACAATATCGATTAAAAACCAACGCTTTATTGGAATGTAAATATACGGCGAATCCTCCACCATCAATCACATGGGTGACACCGAAAAGAGAAGTTTATCACTGGAATCCGGATCCAAGTATTCCCGATGTTTTTCGCAAACATCCTCACGCGCATGATCAACACGAGATACCGCTAAGACAGATACCACCAAGAATTCAAGTCTTGGACAACGGAACCTTGTACATTCAAAACGTCACTAGAGAAGATTGCGGTAGATATCGATGTTATGCTAGTAACCCAATTGCAAATACAACGCGAGATGTTCTTCTTCATATTGATCCAACCGATTGGAATAATATTCGACTTTACAGCATTTTAGTTGGATTTTATTGTGCTGCTGGATTTTTAGGATTAACACTTTTAGTACAATTGTTCAGATACATCTTAAACAAGTAAGAATTAATTTGTGATTGTTACCAATTTTTTTATTGCTGTTTGTAATTCTAGATTGGGAATTCTCAACAACTGCTGCAGTTTTTGCAAAAGAGATCGAGTTTCACCGCGAGCTCGGCAAATTTATGCCATGTTGGATAACATCGAACAGTATAAGTCACAACAATTAGAGAAACTACGCGAAAATTACACTTTGCAGGTATGTTATTAAAGGAAATATTTTTTATTGAGTAAATTATTTATGATTAATATTATTATTAGGTGAATAGAATCAAGGATAATTGCACTCAACAAATGGAATGGATTCAGGGAAGCTACCAAACTCAAACAAAGCATCTGAAAGATATCAGGGATATAGGAACTCAACATTTAACGGCACTTCGAGATCAGTATTATGATCAGGTAATTATATTTGATTATATTTTGAGATAATTGTGAAACCCCAACTTTTTTTTAATCATTTACTATCGTAACTTTTTATTTTGACCGCTTTATTACGTTATTTGATAAATTTCATGATTTTTAACAAAATTTATTACGTTTATTATATGTATATAAAAATTTACAACGTTTACAGAACGATTAAAAAACCACTTGTGAACGTCAGCAAGTTGAACATTTATTTTTAATTAATGATAATCAAAGTGTTTTTCCTCTGTTAAGATTTTTGATAAATAATTTTTAACTTTTCAAGGTTTCTAAATTAATTTATTTTTTATTTCCAGATTCGTAAGGTACGCGATTATTCGACGAGTCAATTGAACTGGGTGAGGGAAAACTACATATTCCAACGAAACAAAATTCGGAAATTTAGCGCGCATAAAGTCCTTCAATTACGCGAAACTTACAAGTATCAACAACAGACGTTAAATAAAGTCTTGGAGAACCTGCCAAGTCTTTATTTTGAAAATTGCCGAGCTGGGACGTGTGGAAAGGCGGAATCAATAGTTTTCGATATGAACGATATTGAAAGTTTAGACATGTATATTAAAACGAAAATCGAGAAATTAACGGAAATCGAGGATCCAATAACATCAAGGGAGTCGGATATAAACCAAAGCAAATTATCTTTGTATTATACGCCTACGGAAAGGTCGATTGCTTCGAGGCAGACGCCGGCCGGTGACGTTTTGGCCGGCGTTCATATTAATTACATCGAGAATAAACCGGCCGCTTTCGACGTTAGGCCGTCCACGTCGAAGAACGCGGTCACCACAGAAGATATTCCGAAAATAAGAGGAAACATGGAAGAGTGCGCGACTATTAATAACAAAAACGATTTCATACATCAAAGTGCTAGTTTACCCGAGTTAACATCGGTGGAAATCGCGAAGGTGGAAGGTGGCGGTCAAAATGAAAAATTAGAAACAACTCTATAAGAAGAAAAGTAAGAAAAAATGTAAGTAATAAACACAAAACGAAAAAAAAAGAAACTAATAAATTAATTGTTGGGTTATAAATTCTTCTTTTATAATTGTGCCAAGAGTAAAATAAAAATATCTAAATAAAAAATTAAACAGAGGTGGAAAATGCAAGAAAATGGTTTGCGAATCAGGCTTTTGAGCGCTGTGATAAATAAATTTTTGAAGAAAAAAAAAATAATAAGAGCTACATCCGCGAAAGAGATTCTTGCTTTTTCCTCCTTCCAATGAAAATTGTGGAAAAAACAACTCCCACCGGATAATTAAATTAACAATAACAAGCGAAAAAAGAAGTAACGGTACTTATAATTTAATGAATCACTATAAACCGACGACATATCACAGAATAAAGGCCGGTAAAATCGTATATAATATAGATAACAAAGAATGAGGTATTTCGTCCCAATAATTCACTTTCCATAAAACCCGTAAATGTGTCTCTATTATTAAAACAAAGAAGTAGTTGTAGTTAGTTACTTTAATATACCTATAAGAATAGATTTTAATCGAAATCTAACATCATTATTTTCCCGCATGAAATACATTCCAAACAGAAAAATAAGAAAGATAATCATTAACCAATTTATTATTATTATCTCCATTAATTCTACAGTCTCTTTATTCTGTGAATTAGACTGATTAAATCGTAACCCTTCCAATTTTTTTCCGATTAGGTACAACAGAAAATAAATTAACAAGAAAAAAAAACCTAGCTGTAATAAATTTAAGCCTAAAATGTTGATGATACTTATTACTTTCCTGCGTTATAACCGTTTTTAGATGTAACAAAAATAAGTAAATATGGGTATTCAAGATTTTAATTTTTTTAAACATGTTTAAAAGAATTTATATTTTTTTTTATTTTCTATGAAAATTATGAAGAAAAAAAAATCTTAAGATCATGAATACCTTTAGTGGTTAATAATTTTATTGTTATCAATTAGAAATCACGGAAAAATAATTATTGTAGTAATTTTAACTTTCTTTTTGTTCGAGTGAAATATTATTACGGAAATTAACTAATAAACTCGGAGATAACCTCGCTAAGGTTTTCTAAAATAAAATCTTCTTGTTGCTAGTCTAAGTCCGCTTGTATCATACAAAGATATACAATTTTAAAAAAATGATTCGAAGTATAAGAAAACGATTGGAAGATTTCCGGTATGAAGTATATTTTGAAAGAACTTAAATATGCAAAGATAAGATTAATTAAAAATAAGCGGGTACTAAAGAACTCTTAAAAAAATAACACAAAAAAAGTCTTTATATAGCTATTTTTCTTAAAATATATAAAAAGATATTTTTTTCCTGTTAAATGTAAATATTTGTGTGTGTCCGTGCGATCTAGCCGAAAAACTGGTGAACTTAATGATAAATAAATCAATTAATAAATCAATAATGCAATTTTATTTCCTTTTATCCAAACAATTAAAATAAAACCAGAGCGTTTATTAGGCTTGATATTCAATAAAAATTCAAAATTTAAAAAAAATATTAAACTTATTAAGGTATTTCAGTGAATCATAAAGTGATTAAAAATTACTACAACCGATTTTTTAACTTATATTCATAACAAAATTCTTATATTACGTAAAATGTTGAAATGTCTCTATTTTTATTAAAGCTACAAATGGGAATGTTATATTTTTTCACTATTTTTTGATAAACTTGCTGCAATTGCAATTATAATAATCTGACGTAATGTAAATGTTTGTTTATATAAAGTTAGTCTCAAAATAGCACACGCAACCTTAAAACATTTATTGTAATGCAAATGATTTTTTTAACCATGCCATTTAAATCACGAAATGCCGACATAATAGAGTATAATCTGATTATTGGAGTTATGTTAACAACACACGCTTGTTTGGAACAAATTTTGCATAGAAGGTTTCTACTGTTGCATTCCAAACATTTCAATTGCCCCGAAGAGTTGAAAGCAGCAAATAAAATCTACAATGTTGAAGAGTTAGTCTGAAATACGGTTTTGGAACGTTAGAAAGCACTCAATCGATAAAACCGATGACTAAATTCCACATCAACCCTAAACGGCTACCTACCTATCAGTCAAGTCTGTAACAAGAGAATGCGGCAACGACGTGAAGTATTTATCAAGTAAGGAGACAGTGCAAAGGACATCAACTATTCGGGTGTTAAATATTATGTCTTAACAGGCTTTTTATGTCAGTGTATTTACAGAATTATTTTGTATGTGTAACCTGCAATTGGCACTTATAGTGCAAATAGAAAAAAAATACAATTTCTTGAAAAAGAATTGAGAAGATGAAGATAATGGAAGATTACTAAACCCTTAGTGGTGTTGAATCATGTCATGTAGCAACAATGGTTTAATCTTTGGGTTACTAATTAAATCTATTGGAACATATATATCTAATATATCATAGTATGTACAAATAAATAGATTGTAAAAATTGTATTCATAATAGCATGTAAGCCATTTTCTGTTGATGTGCATGTTTATTTAGAATTGTTACACTTGTGTGTAAATGGCCATAAAAAAGTAACACATTATGTATGAGTTGTGTTACAATAATAGCACGAGAATACTATGAAATATAATTTTCTGTAGCATAACATTGAAGTATTAATTGTTGTATAATTGTATAGCATAGACCTATAAGAATTACATATGGAACAATACATGCAGTAAATTTGTAATGTTTCGGTCATCATCGTCAATGGCCTGACAACCCTTTGTTCCACCATGTTCCGCCATTTCGATCTATTATCAGACATCCTTCTCCAATTGACGATGCCAAGGGTTTTGGCGTCGTCTTCCACTTATTTCATGTATTTTGTGTTGGATTACGCCCCTATATCCTGTTCCGATGGGAATTTGTTTTAATATTATCTTGGAAAGTCTTCGTCTTTCATTCTCTGGAAGTATCTCATCCAGCGCAAACGATTGATCTTTATAATAGCAACATCAAGATCTGTGTATGCTGAGTAGAGTTCGAAATTATATCATCTGCGATACTTTCCATTTTTTAACACTTCCCTGTATACATGTATGGCGCAGTATTTTCCCCTCAACGATGCCGAGTATCCTTTTGGCCTTCTGTGACAGGACTGTTAGAGCTTGTATAGCTGCCATTTTGTAGCTCTTGATAATAAATGTTGCAATACTTGGTTGATATTGTTTTCAATTTGGGAATTCAAGGCTTTAGGCATGGACTAATTGTAAGAATTCTGGTCATCATAACAGGAGTTAACATCGCCAAGAAAATACTCTTGGAAGACCATCAATGTTTAAGGAGCGGTATGACAAGTGACACCATTCTGTTGAATTTACGTGCCTTTACGAATAACATCTTGCAAAGAGAAATGGTGCAATGTTTCCGGCAAAATATATATCAAACAGTGATACATTAACAATTCATTTGTATCTCATGTGATTTTTTTCACATTTGTAAATGTAACTTATCTAGTAGGTACACGAAAATGTTGGTCAAGGCAGTAGTTCTTTTATATGTGCTTACATTAACATAGTTATACTTTAGTAAAATGCGTACATTCACGGCTACTTCCAAACATAATAACTTTTCTTTGATTGTATAAAGACCTGGCAACCAAAATTTTGAATTTGGTTTAAGGTTGTTTGGCGATATTTTCATTTTAGTTGCTATTTTCTTTTTTATCTTGTGAATAGTATCACTAAACATCAACCCAACCCACATCGTTTCTGTTTCATGCTACGAAGAAGAGGTATATAGTGAAATACCTACCGACTTGTTAAGTCCGCAGGAAGTGATTCAAAACAAGAATGAAACATGGGAAAGGAACTGTGAGGAAATAGAGTCATACATAGCAGGTACAAGTTCATCAGAATAATGGAAATTAATTAAATCATTACGAAGTGAAAGCTCCAACAAAGCAAATTGAAATCCAATTACATTGGAAGTTAGTGATGAGATGGCTTGGAATTAAATCAATAAGAATAGAAAACTGGCGCTAACAAACTAATAGAAATGTTGCGACAACTTTTTGAGACATCTATAAATCGGGAAACAATACTGGAAAAAGGGCTTGGATCACACCAATTCATAAAAAAGGATGCAATACCGATTGACCAAAGCTATAGATATATTTTAGTAACCAATCGAGAAGCCCACCTACTATTAAACTACTACCTTATCAAAGCATTCGACGACTGTACCGATAAGAAAACTGCGGCAGGTACCAATCAACAGAACAGAATAAGTGCAATTAAACAATTATATGAAGTCCAGACGAAAATTGGCAAACGATATCTCCTAACCTTTCCAGTGATTAAAGACCTTAGACAGGACTGATGCTTGTCCTCAACACTTTAAAATTAATCTGAACGAAAAACTGAAGATGGAGATCATGCTAAGGAATGGAAATACAACTCACAGATGACATAACAGTTATGGGCAAAGAGTCATTGAATAGTATAAAGAGGATCTAGAATTTATATATGTGTATTAAAAGAGAGCAAGAAGTTGTGAATAATAAAATGATGTTGAATAATTAAGAGCAACAAAGACAGCTAATCTGGTACGGACATGTTGAGGGAACGCCAGAACAAAGAATTGCAATGTTGGAGAGAAACCTCAGACCAAAAAGCTGAGAGCTAGGAGGTATAATTGATAAAAAAATATTAATAAATTCTCATAATCAGATCATTGTGGTTCTAATGGTGGTTCTTAATAATAAATTCTTTACATCCAAATTATACAGAACTTTAAATCCGTTATCACCACTGAAGATATAAGAAATTATTATGTTGTTTCTGTTGTTGTTTACGATTCAATTATTTGTAGTATGTTTAAAATCTGCCCAAACAAGATAGTTATTAATATAAAAAAAAATTAAAAATGATCGATATTTTTAATTTTTCTTTGGATTATTTAGAAGAATTTTTTTTGATAATGATACTCTTTCATTTATTTTCAACCGGTTTCAAGACATTTCTTACTTTTCCCATCAGGCAAACTATTCAGGTAGGTAAACATCGTATATAAAATACTACTACAAAGCAAATACATAAAACACACTCATCAAAAACAATGTAACCTTTATGTCTCCCTTTATTTTAAATCTTATAGTACGATGAACAGAATTCAACCACAAAGCAAGGTTTGGAATAGGTTATAAAGTAGTTCAGAAGCAAATGTTCCAGAGATTTTCCAGAACTTTTTAGCAGATTTTTACCAATAGCTGATATTAAAAAAATGGAGACAGGATTTCTGAAATTTTAACATTTCTACTCTAGCAAGAATATAGCAATTTGGAAATTTAGAGCTATAAAAAACAAATAAATAAGGAATGGACGAATTTTTAAAAGTAACCAAAAGTGCTCTATTTGTGTACTCTATTCAATATTTGGCTTTTTAGAGATATTACCAGCATTTTATTTCATTTATTATCTCTTTTCTTTGGAAACTCAAATTGAGATGATTATAAACTATTTTTATGTAAATCAATAACTACCTATTAGGTTACAGTTGTTGACTGTAATTGACTAACAGCTCGATTTATTCCTTAGATAAATTTATCAAGAAAATTCAATTAAAGATATAAAGAAAAGTTAGACTTTAAGAGACTCAAAATATTGAAATATTTTTGATATTAAATAAATTAAATTTTTTGAGACAATATAAAATACTCTTTTCTACCCACATTACACGCCACATTAAATAAATTAATGAGAGTTAACATTTTCCAAGTATAATTTGACGTATAACTGGAAATACAGTTAAAAATTTCCCAAGTTTCAATTAACCCAATTTTTTCGGAAATGCAAATAATTTTTTGCATATAAATATTGGAATAACAGAATCCATGTTTGGATTAATATTAATAGCGAAAATAAAAACAATAAGATCAAATCCTACCTTTCTCGAAGACCTGTTCCAAAGGTTGATTCGATGACCGGAATTGATCAGGTTCTTGACGATTTCAGTTCCCATTATGCCAAGCCCGATGAATCCAAACCGGGACTTCGAGGCTTCAATCTTCTTACTTTTGAAGGATTCCGAAACGTTGTTGATGTCAATTGTTGGAGAATGCTAAAAAAAAAGATACAAAAGAGACATAAAAATTTGTTGAATAAATAAATAAAAAATTATTTAAATAAATAAAAATCTCTAGGAGTCAAAAGATTTCCAAGAAATTATAAGCTCTTCTGTATCATTGAAGAGCTTTAAGAGTTTATTTAAAAACCAAATGACCTTGGACAGTTTGTTAACCTCTCCATTACTACCTCGAATGAAATAACTTCAAACTTTTATTTTAATCGAATAAAAAAAGTATAATAAAAAATATGCCAAATATTCGAAGATAATTAAAAAGTAATTATTTTTTAAATTCTTTTTAATTTGATTTAATAAGAGAAAGTTGAAATAGAATTATTTACGGAAATTCAATATTAATGTTTACAGCTGGGATTATCATCATTCATGTAATATAAAATAGAATAAGTATAATAATTACACATTTGATTAGAATTTATTTAAATTAAACCGATTTTGATAACAAACCGAGTTATAAATTTACTGAACAATACAAAGATAGAACTAATAACTTTAAAAATAATTAAAATATTAAATATAAAATGATTTTTTGAAGAGTACTACTTAATATTAACTTTATCTTAGTTTAATCACAAAAAATATGATTTATGTACTTCAATGTTCACTTTCATACCACTTTACAAGGAAAAAGAAATTAAGAGAAAGTGTTTTGTGCTTATTTGTGAGTCATTTAACACTTTAAGTTCCACTAAAGATTTACACAAAGTGTCAAAAATATAAAATAACTGGTATGTGTTAATTTTGTTCCTTAACCCAACATCAGACTTTGATATTAGAAGCAATTATTTATAAAAAGTACAAAAAAGTTTACACCTATATTGTAATATGATCACAAAACAAATCTCAAAAATTAATTTGGGTAGTTACAAAAAACTGCATTGATCTAAAATCTAAATGAATCAATTTTCGAAAAATATTGTCAAAAAATAATCTTTTTTCTTTGTTATTAAAAATTTTAAGATTTTATTATTAAATTGAATGTATAAGTTGCCCTTGAAAAAAATATAACAATCAAACAATTTATTAATGTACATATTTAATTATTTTTTTTTCCTTTTTCAAGTACTCGATCAAGTACGATAACTTGCCTGGCCGCAGCAATAGAATTTTTCTATTAATAATTAATTAATCTACATACACCACACTTTAATTTAATTATGTTGGTGGTAGTACCCGCTTGTATTACATTTGGTGGCGTTGGCTTTTAACCAGCGTTGGTAGCTTCAACAAGCTTTACATTAACCGAATTAAAATAAGAAGTAAAGTAAAACTGTAAGAATATCAGATAACGAAAATTGGTTTTTTCGAAAATACTTTGCCTTTAAAGATTTATGAAAAAAATCTTCAAATACTAAGGATTCGCAACATATATTCTTTGTAACATTAAGTTGTAGCTAAATAATTATGCTATCATTCCAAAAAAAATTTTTTTAAATTACTGCCAATTCCAATTTAATATTTTGCATGATTGTCAAAAAAGTTTGCAAATGTGTTAATTGTTTGAACAGCGACTAAACATGTGTTTTTATATGGGATAACAAAATCAATTACGGCGGAGTTGTAACCGACTAAATAGTAATAAAGTTGAATAGCCGATTATTTATATTTCTATAATTGAGGAAAAAAATGTATTAACAAAAAACATAATTGGTGAATTAGTCAATGGCAAAAGCGGTTAAGTTAAAGAGTAAAATCCCATTGGCGTCAAGTTTCAATTAATCTACACACACTGCATTTGTAAATAAACCAGCTTAATATCTAGTAGAGTATAAATGTGAAATTTACACCAAAACATATTCTCACAAAATAAATTACGTTTTTACATTTTTCCAATTGAGTATGTTTTTTAAAAAACCTTTTAATAATATTTGCACCGTAATTCCAAGTTTATTTTTTGAAACGACGTTATCTTCATCTAATGACAAGACTGTTAATCGATCCATTTTTCCCATTCTAAGAATATTATCATTCCTCACGTTTTTGTTTAATGTCTTTTCTTAGCTTAGACGTGGCTTGATTTCACTTTTGGTAGCCATACCTTATTTTGGATATTTAATCAAGCGAATCCTCAGAAAATTTGTATTGAATCGTTGGTATGATGCTATACAAAATTGGCGAAAAGAAACTTTCTCAAACCATAATATATATACTCCTTGGCTAATTTTAATTGTTTATATTACTCTGTTGTAAGTAACTTATTCTAATATAAGAGCAACTCATTGAACGTTCCACAAGATAGAAAAAGAATACATCTCAAAGAAAGATGAGATACTTAAATCAATATTTGAACATACAATTTCTGGTTACATAGAGAGTAACCAATTATAATTTCTCCTTTATGGATTAGTACATAAAAGCTATTGATTGCTTATCAATTCTTTCATTTAGTTTGAGCGTGGATTTGGTGTTGTTATAAGCCCATATGTAATTTAATTATACTAATGTTTAATTTTATTTTTTTTATGTCTAAACAGTAATTATAATTTCAATAAATATCAAAATGTCTTATCTAATTTATATTTCATTGGCAGCTTTTCGTTTTGTATACAACAGAAATTAATTTTTCTATTATAGCAGTTGTATGGATTTCAATCACTGTGTATTTATTAGTTCTTCCAGCAATTTGTGAGTTTGCTTGTGAGCTAGCTTACCATTAAGAACTAATAACTTTATTGCGATTAGTGTAAATTAAACTTAAATTTGTGTGCACAACCAGTTAAAGTTCTTCATCAATGCACCCTATGGTTCGATTAAATCTGAACTTCATTGGGTCAGGACAAATACAGGGTGATTCTGAACTTATACGCATAAACTTGGGGATTTATTCCTCATGACAAATAATGAGTAAAATGTGAAAAAAATTGTAGCAAAAGTTTTTTAGTTTCCTAGATATCAATGAAATTTACATTCAAATCAAGAATACATATAAGAATTTAAAATGAACATCAAATCAAGTGTTCCAAGTTGTTTCCAATATTTCTATACACAATTGGGTTCGCTGAATCCACGATGTCCCACTAGCGCGGCCTATACCAGTATTTAATTTTATAATCATTGCTCAGTATTAACGTCCTCAATATTCACTTCCTCAGCTGCAATGTTAAATGCTTGTGATAACCACTGTATGCCATCCTCAGTATCAGTCAAGAGGACGGCATCATCTGCATAGCACTCAATCGTGATTTTGTGCTTTGTAGTGTTTGCCCCGTTCTAATTCTTTTATCCTTACTTTGTCGAACGTTTTGGTTAGATCAATGAAACACAGGAAGGCTGCCTGACGTTTTTCGCCGGAGTTCTATCTGATTCTTTTTGATGCTCTCAACATTTTCCTCAACATTGTGTGATCCGTACATGTCATTCTTCATCTCGTTACTAAATTTCGCCATGCATCATTTTTGTAGGCAACTCTTGCAATCAGGAGGACATGTGCAAACGACCCACTCAAATGTATGTAAACATTTTTTTGCAGAAGATGAAATAAGTATGATGGTATCAGTTCTAAACAGATGAGATAGTTTGGTGTTGCTGTGTACGATGATTTCTAGAAGGAAAGACTGTACGCTTTGGAGATGATATGAGAGCGCGGCCTAAACCAGGGTGTTGGCGGATTGTCTCGGCAGCAGTTTGTATCTGATTTCGCAATCTTTACTCAGTATTAACTTCGATGACGTACATTATGTTTTTTAAGTGATCCCAGAACAAAACAAGAGGATTGATGTCGAGCGATCGACATGGCCAGGCCCATAGACTACCTCGACCTGTCCATCTTCCGGGAAGCACCTTATCTAGATGTTGCCGCATATATCGAATATCTAGGAAATCAAAAATCTTTTACTACTATTTTTTTCACCTATTAGCCATTATTTGTCGTGAGGAATAAATCCCCAAGGTTATGCGTATAGATTGAGAATCACCCTGTATATACAAAGTTTGTAGTTAGAGTTTTACTAATTACAGGCTTTATGACCAAGTCAACAATACATAATCATTTTTCATGTTGATCCGTAATAAACTATAATCATACTTGATTTAGAACACCTTTTAGATGAACATATTGCATTTTATATTCAGCATAAATTGTCTCAAACAATTGATCAATCGCCCCCATTGACATTTGATTTATAGATGTGACTTACATTCACTATATATTAATTATTCCTTGTTTTGTGGATGTATCAACATTCGCTTATTAATGTAAAGTTTTCATATGAATGAAAAGACAACTAATAGCTACTACTGTATGGGTACCTACAATGCAAGAAATACGGGGGCTTAAAACATACATATTTAATGAAGATATTTTACCTCCTTTAGATAACTTATTTTCATTACAAAACGCAGTGCCTAACATGTAAAGTATGTAGTCGTTCCTAAGAAATTCTTAGGAACAAGTTCATAGCTACTTGCAGTCATTAAAAAATTTTCTATCAAGCCTAGAATGCTTTGGACGGTGCCATACTCTAAAAGTGTAGAACGATATTATTGACGATACAATCATAAATTTCTGATCTTTCAATATCCCCAGTAACATTCAATTACATCAGTTCAAATCATTTTTCAAAAAAATGTATTAATCAAACATGATGAAATTATTTTTCTTTTTTATTTTATTTTTTTCCTTTGCATAGCATTAAATTAAAAAAAAATTTTAACGTATCCATTTTTTGAACCAATTATGGTAATAAGGTCATATAGATACGCGGGGTAGTCGTTAAGAATACGAAACTTAAGGCTGTAGATTTGGTCGCTGCGGGAAGCTGTCTTAATCACCTACAACAGTGTTTATAGAAATTATAGGATGGTACATCTATTAGTCTAATGTCAATATATCTTCAAGATTTCATCTGCCTCATCGAAACATTCCAACTCTACCATATCTCACATGGGATTAATGCATGAATTCGTAAAGTAGTGTACATAAGTTGCCAGTATACCTATATACCAGTACATTGCATGTAATAATGTATATACCGTCGGCTGCAGTATAACATGTGGTTGGAAGTTTGCAGAGGTAATCTTTTTTCTCTAGTGTGCTGTCTTATGCGTGTGTATTCTTGTGTTCATCTTAAAAAAGCAAGTTATCCAAGACCATCATGAAACGTCCATCATAACTTTATAAGCACATATTCTTATTATACTTTCAATCAATTGGTAATAATAAAATATAAAATCATGCACTTTGTGTACACAAACAGGTTGAGAATCCACGTAATGTTGTATTTTGTTAATGTATTTGATTATTTCTGTCATGTTATGTCATGTTTTTCATATCTCATAGTTGACAAATCTTACTGGTATAAAGAACACTATTGATTGATAAGTCTACTTCCTTGGATGGATATTTTGAAGTAAATATTACTCAAATAACGCTTTTCTCATAGACTGTATACGTTATACAGGTGTTCCACATCAGAGCATTATACAGTTGCAGGATACATTATTCTGAAGCGACTTTTCGAATAAATTTTTTTTCGAAATGTTTATAATAACCGCATGGGAACTGTTTAAAGTCGTCCAATAGCGGAATTTAATATTCATGGAAAAAGTTTATTTCGCTTTCCGTGTCGAATCTATTGGTGAGTACACTATATATCGTTAAAAGATAAATTAATAAAAATTTAAATCTTAAGGTGCTCCACCAAAAGGTACTACACCTATACATTAACCATTAATAAACTTCTTTCAATTAAAATTTAATCTAAATGATTCATTGGATAAATACAATTTACCAACGACTGAGTACACGTGAGAAAGGTGTTATGAACGTCGCGGCGGTCCGGCCGAGGGTGGGGTCGATTACCTGTGTCTGATTTACGATCTCCTATTGGACGACTTTAAACAGTTCCTGTGCGGTTATTATAAACATTTCAAAAAATATATTTATAACAAAAATCGCTTCAGAATAATGTATCCTTCAACAGTATAATGCTCTGATGCGGAAAATACGGGACATCCTATGGATCAACCTGCTATGAAATTTCATATCTGGGAACATACTAAACTTTATGTCTAGACTGGAAAAAACCTGGAATATATTTCACCTACATTGTGTACTCACCACTTTTGAAATAAATCAAGTTGTTTTCCATTATATATATATAAAATAATGTTACATTTGGAATGAAAAGACAAAAAAAACACATATTTCCATAGAGAACCAAACCGTATAATTGCCTGCAATAGCAATTTTTTTCTACACATCCCTGCATACTTTATGCAAAATACTGCGAAGTATCCCTTAAACAACTTCAATGAGATCGTTAAACACAGAGATAAAACAATTTGCTCATTAATAGGCTGCAAAATGTTCCTCATTTTTTCGTAATCATGCTTCACTGTAGCACCCATGGATGTATAAAAAAAGAGTGTAAACATAACAATTAGTAATAACAATTGGTATTAAATTAGTATACAATTTCCATACTTTATCGCCAATGAACAACTTGGTTTTCTGTTCAGGGTAATTGATGGCATCTATCCTATTTATGTAATCTGTACTAAATGATTATTCTCAAGTTGATACAATCTATACGAATTACTCAGAAGCCCTCGATGGATGAAAATAGGCTGTACTATTTTTGAGCTTTCCACTTTGAGTATTTCAGTTAGTGTTATTCATTGGGTTATGTCCTATCTATCCAATAGGAGTCAGGCAGCCATTCTTGTTTCAAATGCTGTACATTTTTGTTCTGTGCGAACAATAACAGAGCTTTTAGGGAAATCGGTTCTAGTTTAGATTACATTAATCCATAAGAATTTCCATAAAATGTCTGGCATTGGATAATTTCCAATATAATTTGAATAGTTAGAATATTGAATCCACTGATACAACAGAGGATGTCCTTGGTCAAGGATACCAACATATATCATCATATTCATATCTACCTTATGGTGATAAAAGCTTTGCAAAATTTGTTTCTGTAATCTGTTTAAGCAAAAATTTTCAAACATTCTTTGTATAATATCGTTTTATACATGATCTTTGTTAACACTATACTATGTCATAGGTTTTCAGTATCGAATCCAATATACTCTGTCTCTATCATGATCTCATCATATAAAAGTGAAAACTCGAATGTTGAAAATTCAAATAACATTTATGTATGAATGACATATTATAGAACCATTTATTCAAACAAGATACTATGCAAGTGAAGGTATGAATGATAGACTTGCGTGGATGTTGGGAATGAAATATTTGTACACTTACAACTTAATGGACTGCTGAAATGGTATCTGTAGATAAGGAAATACTTAATGCAGAATAGTCAACTATAATACATGATGAGTTATTAATATCCCAACGGTAGATAATTACTAAATCGTTTGAGAAAGAAAAAATGTTTTATATAAAAGTTGTTTGACTCGCCATTTTTTTCTATAACATAAAATTATTTTCATTTATACAGGGTGTTGCATTTTGACGTGACGGAAAGTACATAATTTTTTTTTAATGGAACGCTTGTATGTTTTACCTTGTTATGAATACAATTAAAGTTGTTTATCCAATCTTACGTTAGTTTACCGTTCCTGAGATATTCAACTTCAAAAGTTCAGTTGTTCAAAAATAAGCCTGTTGCAAGATCTTTTTAAAAACGATGTAAAAAAGACATTTTTGCCTTTAAACTATGTCTAATAATAATCAAAGCCAGTAGGTAGATGATAGTATCGAAAAATATTAGATACACTATACAGCGTGTTCATAGAACTTAGTAAATTTTGATGTTTTTCAAGTGGCTTTTTCATAAGTTTTTAAATGGAATACTCTGTATATTAGGTGCTTGTTGAATTGCCCATCAAGTTCCTGTTAATTTATGCTAAGTATGTCCTCATAGATTTTGTCCAACTCCAAAAGCACGTTTGCTAATGTTAACAATTAAAAAAAAAATATTTGTTCAAAATATCTCCTACATATTATTATATTAGTAGCACGAAAATAATGAGATTTAGAAAATATGCCTAGTTACCATATATGCAACTAATTATGAACAACATATAACAAATTCAACTACTAACCCATTTTTGGACAAATTATATTAGATATAAATTTGTTAATAGCGCGCTTAACTTCCCTGATATTTTGCTTAAATTCCCTCTTGCTTGACTGCGAATTCTCAAAATTCCAAATACAATAAATACTTCAATCAAGCTTTAAAATTGTCTTACACTGTTGACGTTTTTTTTTGCTATAGAATGAATAGATGATAGTTGCATCTTTATTATATCTTCACATTTATATTGCATTCAGTTTTAATGTTGTAATTATTATCATGTAATGTTTTTTCAATCATTTAGAAACATTAAATAATATCATATAAAACGTTTTTGTTTACAAGAATAATGTAAAATGTAAAATGTTAACAGTGAGCACAAAATTAGGAGCATCCTGTATAGAGTTAAATATTTTTTGTAATAATTCTTCTAATATGTTATGTTATTTTTTTATTGTTTCCAAATATGTAAAAGCTGGGTAATTAAAAAAAAAATAGGAATAAGCATATTTTGTCAAACCAAACTAACACTTTATATTAACCCTGTATAAAGTTTCAAGAGAAAATGTAGAAGATATCACTTAAATAACAACCCATTGAAACCAGTATATCACATAACACCACTTAATGAATATTCAATAAAAAATTAAAGACATCTATTTTTTTGCAACATTTTAATCAACAACTTACCGGTACATCCAAAATCGATGGTCTATCAAGTAACTCTTGGTAACTTCTGTTGGACACATGATTTGATGTAAAAGATGAGGTTGCACCATTTTCTTCAGAATCATCCAAACGTCTTTTTTTCGCTGCTACTTTTGTGGTAGAGGAGGACCTTTCTTTTTTCACTCCACTATCCTGAAACATACAAATTTAAATGATCAATATTTTAGAGCAAAGAACCAAGTGTTATAAAATGTTACTAAAATAAACTTACTTTACGTTTCTTTGGTGTTTTAACCTCTTCTTTTTCTTCTTCCTTTAGCTTATCAAATTCGTCCTTTCCTTCCTCTTCATCTTCGTCTTTTTCAGGATCAAACTCGGGGTCATTCTATATAGAAAAAAATTAATCAAACAAATCTAAAGGTAATTAAAAAGAAATGATCTCACCTTTTTCTTTTCAATATAAAGCTCAATTTCTCTTACAGCTTTCTTAAATGAAGCTTTTTTGATTGAATCGGCCAGTTGCTCTTTAAACTCTAAGTAAGGTTTGATGTTTATATCATCGATCCATGCGCTATTATAAACATAATTCATTGATTTATCAAGGAGACTTTAAAATAACAAAATGTTACAAAAATAAAAAGCTTACAAGTCATTACTGCCAAAAAACTTGATCCATTGTACTCCAGTCTTCTTTGGTGGCTTCTTTACATGCAGTTTAGGTTTTGCAATCTAATTAATGAATTATTTATAAAGTTAATTCTTAATATTAATTTATAAAAAAATGTGAATTGAATTATTATTTGATAATTGAACATAATTTTGGTCAAAGACCAATAAATAATTCTTTAATAATTAATGTAGATGAAGAATAAAAATTAACACATCAAAAACTAACCTAAAAAAAAATTTTTTTTTTTTCTAAAAAGAAATTTTTAAGGAGAATTTGCAAAAATTAGGCGTAATTATCTAATTTAATGAGTTATTAACTAATCTAATGCATTTATCCTTAAATTAAACTTAAAATTTATTTATAAAAATTAAAAATGGCGGGTAACAAAAAAAAACGTTAGATGGCGACAGTGATAATCAAAGAGATAACCTAAAAAAATCAATTTTGTATCAAAAATGTACCATAAAAACTTTAAAAAAATAATCATTTAAGGTTAGATATTTGAATAAGTAAGCACAACACGGTGTTGCGCGCGCAGAATCAAGCACGGAGAGGGAATAACGGTTATGTGTTAGTGGCGGCGGTACACTTACGATGCCAGGCCAAGGGGGACAGCCCTTCAATTTCGCCCTGAAACACAACAACACCAAAATGAACCGAAATCGTAACGTACTTTTCGATTTTCAAACTTTAATATAAAAAATAAAAATTAATTACCACACAAGATCACCCAATTTAAATTCTTCCGACATGACGTTCTCACTCCTAACAATGTTCAACTCAAAGTGTGCACGTTCTGTTTATGCCGCGCTTACATTGCTCGGTACATAAGTGGGGGGCGATGCACGCATGCGCAAGAAACACTCAACAAATTTGATTGTTTATAAATTGATTTTAAAGGTTAAATTATCAATTTGTTGTTATAGTTTTAAATGCTTTTGAAGTTTGAAAGCATTTAAGTGGGTTAGGATTACAATTAAACTTTAAAACGTCACATTTTCATTTGTTATACTTTTAGTATGCTGATTGACGTGTATGGACGTTGAATATGCCCAAAAATTATAATTAAAAATAATAAATATCAATTTATATTTATTAATATTAATTAATATAAAGTAAATAATACATTTAAAATTAATTTTATTTAAGTTTTATACATTAAAAGATTTATTTTGCAGGGAGTATTTTTTTATGTTTTGATGAAATGGTTTCGTTTCACCTTTTATATATAGATGGCGGTATTGTTATGAGTTTTGATTTAAGCTAAATTTGTAAACCAAATTTAATTTAGTTATTAAAACGATTTTAGGATGTTAAAATCGTTATTTAAGAAGATTATTTGAATTGCTAACAAAACTGCATAAACAGTAAGTTTTTATTGGATTTATAAACTGCTTTATATATTTAGTTTGATTAACATAACCTCAAAAGAAATGACGTTTAATTTTAAAACATAATTGCATACAATTTTAAAGTAATAAATATATTTCTTTTCAGAACACGATATTCTTTAAAAAGAGATTACAAACAGTTTGAATTAGTTTCCGAAATAACAACAATCTTATCGTGGACTATTACAAACGAAGAGATTCCCAAACAACGGGTAAATTTAAGGAGAATTACTTAATAAATTCTATTAAGGGTTAAAATAGTAACAAAGCCTGAAATAATAAATTATTATAAAACGATTTTAGAGAAACCTCTTTATTAAAAATTTATTAAAGTATAATTGAAAATTGTGAGTATAGATGGCGCTTTTATATCTTTCTTGTTTATTTTAATAATTAACACGTTATCACCTTAATAATTAACAAAAAATATTATTTTTTAGTTAAACAACTTCCTTATAGAGTTTTTAAAAAGAAAATTAAAAAAGGAGATTAATTTTTTTGGTTTAAAAAAGATTTCAATGAAACGATAAAATAACGCAATCGTGTTGCCAACCCACACGAACAAAACGTCCCCGACCAGATGACAAGTAAAAAAATAATGCAAGAAAAAAAAATCCCAAATTGCGTTATACACTTGTTCCATTCACTTTAGCCTTTTGAAGAGAGAAGTATTGAAGGAAGAATGGTGGTGGAGGGGAATAAACTTGTTCCCGCTCGCCCTCGTGTAGCCTATAGTCTAATCGTTGACGTTGCGGGGGAACGGCCGCGATTCCTATTCTACACCGCACCCAACTAAAAACCCGTCGGAACGCGCAATGAGTCGTCTACCGGAAGTAAAAAACGCAAATTGAAACTCGTTCGCGAGAATCGAAAAATACGCAATCAAAATATTAATTTAAAAAGAAAATCTGATAAAGTGGTAACCTTTTTTGTTCTTTTTTTGGGTGGTGTTTAAAAAAAACCGTATTAAACGAAATAGAATAAACTCGGGAACTGTTACGTATTAATTTGCTGGTGCACCTGTTTCTAAAAATGGACGAGGGGACCTTAAACGACCTTTTAGAGTGTTCGGTGTGTTTGGAACGTTTAGATACATCCAGTAAGGTTTTACCGTGTCAGCACACGTTTTGCAAGAAATGTTTAGAGGAGATTGTCGATAGACACAAAGAGCTACGATGTCCGGAATGTCGGATTTTAATTCATACGAAAATAGATGATCTTCCGCCGAATGTTTTATTAATGAGGATTTTGGAGGGTATGCGAAATGCTGCACCAAAACAAAAACAGCAAAGGAATGTTAAAGAAACCCATCAAAACGTTCAAAATTTAACTCCTGTTCATCAAATTAATCAAGGAGAACATCACAGACACAAAGTTAATAAACCCCCAGTACATAATTTTTTACAACCACATCAAGCTTATGCTAAAGCTCTTTATGATTACTCCTCAAAAGAACCTGGGTAAGAAAAAGATATACGAAAGAATGTGTAATGACAGAATTGATTTATAATGGTTTTATTTCTTGCAGTGATTTGAATTTTAAGCATGGAGATTTGATAATTTTACGCAAGCGAATTGATAGTAATTGGTATCAGGGAGAATCGGGGGGAAAACAAGGAGTTTTTCCAATCAGTTATGTTCAGGTAATTGAGTTTTATTAGCATGATTCAGATGTGCTAATGTGACTAATAGCATTGTTATTTTTTACTTAAGCTTTAATTTGAGATCTTTATAATCAGCATAGTTTTTTTAGATAAGATGTAATTGCATTATAATGAATACTTTATAGATTAAAAAATTAAGAATTTGGATAAAAATAAATTGGAAAGTTTTAAAAAAATTTCCACTAAGATGAAGTCAAATTCAAAGATAATAAAAACCTTAAAATAGTTTAAAATCATATCAAATTAAAATTATGTAAGCCTGTACTAATCTAGCACCTTAGAAATTTCCTTTTAAGGTGCAGAAACAAAACACTTAGTCAAAAACACATTTACTTTACAAAAAGTAAAAAAGTACTCATGATTTAGATGAATACTTTTTAATTGTAAAACTTATAGTTATTACTTTGTAATAAAATAAGAAAAAGTGTTTTAAGGAGGATGAGTCCAATTATTGTTAAGATATGGATAAATTCATTCAATATTGACTTTTAATCAATTTCTTATATACAGGGTGGTTCACTTATAAGTCCCAGGCCAAGTATCTTTGAAAAGGAAGTTGTTAGAGTTGACTTTTTCATTGTATGAAAATAAAGGTAGCGGTATTATCAAAAGAAACTTTCCCTTCAACACAAACTTTTTATTAGGTGCATGTGATAGAAAATCAAAGCTGTGCAACTTTCCTTATTAACATTGATTTCAGAACTTAGTAGATATTTGATAGTAAAGAAGAAAAGAATTGAAACAAAATTATTCATAAATAACAAAACATTAATAAAATAAAAAAAATAACATGTTAGGTAACCAAATAAATTTTTCGCCGCCATAATAATAATTGGAACAACGAAAAAAAACTTATAATAACTGTTATTTCCAAAATTATTTTCATTTTCACGCACGCACAATTCGAATCATCTTTCGTTCGTGGCGCGGTTAATTGCATTAATACTTGCATAAATTTTTGTGTATAAATGCGGTATATTAGCCATCTTCCTGGAAACATGCGGTCCAGATACTGAGTCACAATTTGTGCATTATGTGGGGGTGCATCCGGAAAATCATTCAGCAGGTCTGGAAGGTTGTTCTGCAAAAGCTCCAAATAACGGTATCGTGATATAAATAAGGTCTTACCAAAGTTCCATCGATTATCCCACACCAAACATTGACCCCAAAAATTGTTTAATTATTTGTTTGCATGGTCCACCTAAAATTGTCCTGAGACCAATATCGATTGTTTTGCTTGCACACTACTGCGTTATTATGGAAACGATTTTCGTGGCATCATAGAATGTTATTAAGAAAGTTGTTCCTTTCAGCCAAAATTGAAAGTTCAGCCAAGAATAGAAGCCTACGGATTTCGTCGCCTGATCGTAAATGTTGAACAAAATTGCGCTTATACTGCAAAAATTTATTTGTTTTAAAATTCATATTTGGCAATGATGTCGTAATAATTTATGAGGGTTATCAGTTGTAAGACCATTGCAGTATTTTCATCACTTCGAACTCGTTTTTCTCTCTGTCGTTTATGCTTCTTAAATGTTCCAAAATTGGTATGGTTTGTGGATAAATTTATAAATGTTTTTCGATCTGGAATTAGTTTACCGAGTCTGAGTTTATCGCAGTCTGAACCATTATAAGCTAAAAGTTTAGCCGTTAATTTTAACATACACAAAATTACTCCATAAAGTAATAAAAAAATCACATAATAATAAACAATGTGCATGGTTTCCATGTAACACATGACCTGTCAAATCATCTCAATTCTATCAGCATATTGTCATTCAAAATAAAGTTCTCTCAGTATAAATACTAAATATATTCAAAACTACAAAATTTTTCAAATCAATGTCAACCACAAGCACCTAATAAAAAGTTTGTGTTGAAGGGAAAGTTTCTTTTTATTGCAGAGCCGCATTTATTTTTATACAATTAAAAATAATAATACTTAAGAACTGAAGTGATTTTACGTAGCCTAAAAACAACTTCTTACAAAACTAAAATATCTCAACCTATCCCAGAGATACTTGGTCTGGTAGTTTTAAGTGAAACACTCTGTATATAATAAATATACAAGGTGAAATCGTTTGAGAAAGAAAAAAATGTTTTATACAAAAGTTGTTTATTACACCACTTTCTATGATATAAAATTATTTTCATTTATAAAGGTGTTGCATTTTGGTGTAACATTAAGTATGTAAATATTTTTAAATGGAACACCTTGTATATTTTATCAGATTGTGAATACAACTAAATTCGTTTATCTAACCGTATATATTGCAAATTCACTGCGTTAATAGTTCCTGAGATATAAAACGATATAAAAGTAATATTTTTAACGATTTTGCCTTTAAACTATGCTAGACAAAGCCAGTAGGTAGATGATAGTATCCAAAGATAATAGATACACTATACAGCATGTTCATAAAACATTGTAAATTTTGATGTTTTTCAAATGGAACATCAAGTTCCCTTTAATTAATGATAGGTATGTCATATGTCTAACTTTAGTAGTTTTCTTGATATTTAGAATTTAAACAAAAATGTGTAATAAAATATGCCATTATTGTACTTAATATTGCATTCTGTCTATTTTGGTCAATTTTTTTTGTTCTTTCTTTATTGTTTGTTTCTGATTTGTAAATCAGGACTTTAATTAATAGATTTAACTTTAATTAAACATTAATTTAACTTTAATTAGTACTATTAGCATTTATTAAACAATAAATCTCTATTCAATAAGCTATTTGAAGCAAATGCAGAAACAAACTATAAACACTTACTAAACGTTGCACATCAAGTAGTTATTTATAAATTAATGGGCAAACCGACTTAAAACATGAACATAAGTAATGAGTTATTAAAATATTAATTTATGATATTTATCAAGTAATCATATTAAAATTAGGTATGTGGCAGCAAAATTATTTTACATTATAAAATATTAATCAAACAAAAACAGAAAGAACAAAAAAAAACAGACAAAAATATACAAATTTTATACTAAATTTAATTTTAAGTACAATAATGTACTTATTTAAATAAAAAAATAATAAATTTTATTACACATTTTTCCTTAAATTCTAAATATCACGAAAATTGGACATGTAATATACTTAACATAAATTAAAGAGAACTTAATGGGCAATTTTACCAGCACATAATATACAGGCTGTTCCATTTAAAAAACCTACGAAAAAGCCACTTCAAAAACATCAAAATTTACAATATTTTATGAACACGCTCTATAAGGATTCTGCAACGGGTATATTTTGGAAAAATAATTGAATATCTCAAGAAGTATTAACGCTATGAGTTAGCAACATATACGGTTTGATAACTAAATTTATTTGTGTTCATAATATAGTAAAATATACAGGACGTTCTGTTTAAAAAGATTTACATACTTGCCGTCACGCCTAAATGCAACACCCTGTATAAATGCAAATAATTTTACGTTATAGAAAGTGGTGAATCAAACAACTTTTGATTAAAACATTGTTTTCTAGCTCAAATGATTTAGTAGCTATCGACCGTCGGGATACTAATAACTCACCCTGTATAATAAAAAAATTATATGCCACAAACGGTTAAGTTATAGTTAAAATTATTTAAATTACATATTTTTTTTCGTCTAAAATAGGCATGGTCATTATAAACAATTTAATAGGTCTCCACCAATTAATATTGTCTTTGTATAAAGTGGAAGCTATATTATTGTAAGTTATTACTATACTCAAATAGATGTGAATTAAATTATACTTAATGCAACACACTCTATTCTTCTTTAACAGCATCTTATTATTAACTCTTTGTTTTATGATTATTTAAAAAATTCTATTGAAAATAGCTGTTACTACGACTTTAAATTGAAGCTTTTTTTAGTTTAAACTGATTAGTAGTAGTGAATTTTTTGGCGATGATGGTAATTTGAAGTATATATCTTCTTTCTTCCGATTTAAAACCGCGATTTTTTAGGTATCTTCATTAATTTTTTATGCAAAACAGTTTAAAGTTATTTAAACCACTAATAATTCAAGAAGAGATTTAATAATTTCTAGTAATGTTTATTAAATATCGACAGGACTTTTTTCGGACTTAATCCATCTTCAGGTGTCATCTAAAAAGCGATACAAGATAAATCAATCATCTTATCTTTCATTGTCTTGTATCGCTTTTTAGACGACAGCTGAAGATGGACTAACTCCGAAACTAGTCCAGTCGATATTTAATAAACATTACCGGAAGTAAAGAGTCTCTTTTTAATCAATACTTATTTATCCACTTCCGAAAACATGGACCTACTCATATACATATTAGTACATATCAAGCCACCTATAAAGAGTGTTTTGGTTCATTATGTTTCAGAATACATCTTTTATAACAACAATATAAAAACATGTCTTTTTTTTTTACTGATTCTTAAAATAAACATCTCAAGCTATCGTTTGAACTAGAATAAATAAAAACACGTCATTAAAAACAGAATGGCGCCAATTTGAAAATTGCATTTCATTCATTTACGTTTTTTTACATTATAAAGAACTCTAGAATTAATAAAAATCAATGTTTTTACTTGATTGTACTTCAGACGAAGAATGTATGCGATTAATTAGTGTTCAATGTTTAAACACAATTGAGTCAGTAGATTTTGAGTAATCATGGTTACTAATTACAAAAATCTACAACTTATGTTGTAGAAACTTTTCTTTTTTCCGGTTCTTTTTTCAAGTCGTACATATCATGCAACTTTACCCTTTCGTCTCTGTGATGCGTTGTTTGTGTTTCTTGCGAAAACGTATTTCTGCTCGGTTAATATGGATCTCGTTGCTGATGTGTGTTGATAATATTGCTTGTTTATCAATTTTTACTCTCGTCACATCATAATCTTTAAAATTCGTGTAAATCCGTGTAAAAATTCTAATTAAAATGTAGGCATATGATTTTTTTTTCTATGATTCATTGAGATTTATTTAAAAAACTTAATATGACCTCATCCCATTACTATTTTTTTGAGTGAAAGTAAAATGTTATTATTCATTGTGAAAAGGAAATGGCTAATTAATCATTGTTAATAAATAACATAAACTTACATTGTTTTAAGTTAATCCCTTGATTTCAATTTTGTGTGGAATTTTAATATTTAATTTACCGCCGCCAATAATATTCATTGTTTATACTTATTTTTTGTCATATCCAATTTCAACATTTTTCATTAAAAAACTTATTTTTGTATAATACGTTGCGTGAATTATCTGGTATCCCCAAAGAAATGGGTTTTAAGTAATGATATGTTTCCACCATACTATTTTTGAACCGGTGAGATGTTAGCAATAGATTCCAGCAATAGATTTTTCTCCTAAATATTATTTAAAAAAAAAAAATAATATGTAAAAATATAATGTAAATAAATAGCTTTGGTACTAATAACTCCATAACAAAACTTATAATCACATTTTCTGTAATTATGTGAACCTACCAATTTTATGAAGGCCTATATAAAACATTGTCAAAATTTTCAAAATGCAACATCGAAATCTTAAAATTTTATTTCACAGCCTTATTCTCCATCTCTTAAAGGACAGGAATCCGCAAAAACACCGGGACATTCTTTTCAGTTAAGGTTTAAAAAAGATCCTAAACTTTGAATCGTATACAGGGTGGTTTAGTTTTTAATCGGGAAACTTTACTAGGATGTAGTACTTGCCAAAATAACACATGTTTTTTATATAAACATAGGGTCGCAACTCTTTTGTTTTCGAGCTATGGGCGATCAAAGTCGAGCCAAAAATTTACATTTTCTTTTATATTTCGACTGTAAGTAAACCGTAAAGTAAATTCACCACACCCTTGACTTTGTTTATAAGAACTTTTTAACGCCATGGAATATTAACTTAAAAAAATATGGGTTGTAAAGCTCATTCTTTAGCGGTACTTTTTTGTCTCTTTAGTATTTTCCTTAAAAAAACGGTAATTCAATTTCTGACAGCCCTGTACAAGGTACCTACTGTAATACAGCAAATGACAATCTATTTGACAGCATTTGAGATATTTGACCATGTTGAAAATTCTTTAGATCAAAAAATCGGTATGAACCTCCAATATAAAGTAAATTTTAGAATCGTAGATAAAATGCACAAAAAAAACTGGTATTGCTGACTTTTCGGCGAACACTGTATACGATTCAAATTTTGCGATTTTTTTTAACCGTTAACTGCAAAGAGTGTCTTTGGGTGTTTGCGGATTCCTGTCCTTTAGGGGATGGAAAATCGGAAATTGCTGCTTGTTTTGCGTCTTTCCTGTTTGGTGCAAGTAGAATCTACTTAGAATCGTTGTAAATTCGATAAGCATTGAACAATGTATGTTGTTTGCATTTGTGATTTATTTGTTGTAGCTGATGTACTTAAAAACACGACTCAATTCTATGTTCTTTTTATGTTTAGCTTCCTTTTATAAACAGTGTTTGTCCTTTTGCTAACATTATCAGCGGCACATTTTTCTCATACTGTTTACTTCCATCACTAGACTTAATTTCTGTCATCGCAATATGCAGTTGTAAATGATAGGCGGCAATCCGTTACGATGATTTTCAACTCAACAGAAAGATGAAATATGTTATATTATTATTATTACATTATATGATATATACAAACATTGTTTTTGATAGATGGAACAAAATGTTGAATTTCATAACAAACAATTTTTATTTCATTTTTTAATAACTTTTAAGTTTTAACATTTTGTGCAGGTTTTTTGCAAGAGATAGTTAAATTTATGTATAAATAAGGCTAGTTCTGATAGTTTCCTCAGCAACTAATTTTTTAATATCAGATTCATCTAAATTCTTAAAACCATATTATGCGCAAATTCTGGCATCTGAGAATATCTGCGATTAAATGGTAGTTTAAAATTTTCATTATCAATTACAGCAACCATACAGTTTTTAAACATAGTCTAAGATTATTTTTTCATACATCCATAACTCTAAGAAAATTAACATTTTCCATTTGGGATAAAATACTCCTGAAAGGTCACAGTATACAGAGTTCTTTATCTGATTTGTTTTTTTAATGGAAAATATATATCATATCATAGCTTTTTGGAAATCATTTATTCTTTTCAGCATTCTCCATAATTTTCTTTGGGTTCCATACATGTCTCTCTATTCCTTTTTGAACTTTTTTCAATGATTCTCTTTTTGTTTTTTTATTTTTGAGTTTATCATATATTAGTCAATTTTATCACTGTCAGGTTTTTGCGTTTCACATCTTACACTCATATATACCGAGATTATGGATGGTATGTAAGTACATTTATCTAACTACATAAATTTGGCCCATCCATCAACAACAACTCAATATCTACAAAATTGCACTCTTTTTGAGCCAACATATCTGGGTAGATAAATAAATCAATATTTGATTTAATTTTAATTAACAATCAATAAATTAATTTATTAAAAGCTTTATGTTATTATAACCTTGCTTTATTTTTTAATCTAATTTTATAAACAACTTAATCCTTTTCAATTACTAAGCGCTATTGGTGTTATATTTCAAACACGTGTATTTACAAAGGAAAAAATTGCACACCTTTATTTTTACTTTATACATAATCGGATTAATTTACAAAAACCTAAGAGTTAAGGTGAAATCGTTATACAGGAAAGATTTTTATATCATTAAGTAAACAGGATGGATAAAGGAAGAATGATAACTGATTACAACGCGTTTCTTTATTAAAAAAGCTTACATTATTTATTATTATTTATAGATTATCCATATAACACCGGTACCGAGTCATATTCCGCAATGTAAAGCCCTATACGATTTTCGAATGACTAATGATGAAGAAGAAGGTTGTTTGGCCTTCAACAAAGGTGACATCATCAATGTGATTCGGAGAGTCGATGAGAATTGGGCTGAAGGAAAATTGGATGGGAAAATCGGGATTTTTCCTTTAGCTTTCGTCGAATTAAATAGTTTAGCAAGATCTTTAATGAAATTATCGACGAAGTAATATTAATTTAAGTTTATATTATCAAAATAATTAAAAAAAAATATTTTAGTGTTCAACCCGGTCCTTCTAAAGTAGCTCCACCAACTCCAACAACTGAAGAAACGTCCCCTTTAATTTTAACGGATCATAGAAGACACACTAACGTTCATTCAAATCAAAATGTTCAACAACAACATATTAATCAAGGGTTGATTCAAACTCAACAAGTTCAGGTACAACAACAACCGGGGGCTGGAATTCCAGCTTCCGATTCGAGCTTGACGGTTAGTTCAGGGAGTTCTTCTACGACGACTCCAAATACGACTTCTAGCAATAATTCTTCGAGTTCTAGCACGGCCCCATCGTCTCCCGCTTCACCACCTCCAAGAAATCAAGTCCAAACACCAAGAAGTAATCAGTAAGTTTATTACGATTTTTTTAATTATAAGGGATATGATCGAAATTATGATGAGATAATTTTTTGGGTTAAGGCTGTATAAAAATAGGCACGTGTAGATTTAATCGTTCTCTTTATTTATTACGAAAGTGAACGTATTGTGAGGATTCTATAAAACTCGTTTTGTTTGAACTACTACAGTTTATCTAAAATAAATATTTGATGAAAGAATTAGTTAAAAAATGTGTTTAATTATTTAAATAACGTATTTATTTTTATTTTTTTAACAGAAAAAATGATAATAATCAATTAGGAACCCCTCAAAGACAAATAAATCCACCTCCACGTCCAGATCATTGTCACAATCGTGAAAAACGGCACAGTTTTACATCATTAACACCTCAACATCACCCATCGAACCCACATCGTCACTCCGCCGAAATTTTATCACCGGAAAGTTCGCCAAATTCACAACCACCTCATCAAAGACGCAACGTAACCGAATCGGCTCCTTCATCAACATCGGATTCTCAGCTTCCAGCTGCTTACATCGCGTTATACCCTTATAAACCACAAAAACAAGATGAATTAGAACTGAAAAAGGGTGGAATTTACATGGTTACGGAACGTTGTCAAGACGGTTGGTTTAAAGGGACATCAAATCGCACACAAAAATGCGGGGTTTTCCCCGGAAATTACGTTGCTTTGGCTAGGGGAGCGCCTAGAAGTCCTCAAACGGCTGGTAGATCCGATGAAAATAAAGCGGTGATTGTTGGGTTGAAAGGAGGGGTTAAATCGACGTCGCCACGACAGCAAACTTCTAATTTACCCCCGGAATTACCACCCAGGTCAGCCTCTCCAGCTTGTTCTACGAATAACACGATATCTTCTAGTTGGCATGGTCAACAAGATCATGCTGGTGCTGGTTTGGGGCGTAGCAGCAGTGCTATTATGTCGTCTGGTGTTACTGCGCAGAATTTAAGTGTTAGTACGTCTTCGTCTTGTGTTGTAAAAGCTTCTGAAAAGGTTTGTTTTAAATGCTTTATTTTAAATAAAAGGTGAATAAAAAAACCTTTTAAATAAATACAGTAAAATCGCGATATAACGGATTAATATAGGGAAGGGGGTGTTTGTTATAGTTAAAAGTTTATTATATGACTAGTTATATGGCTAGTTTTGCACTAGCACTGTCACTAGAATTAACACTAGACGTAGAACTAGAATCATTCGGGTTTAGCCGTCTTAAGAGACGTGTGGCTAAACCCGAATGTTTCTAGTTTATAGATATAGTGTTAGTTTTAGGTTTGCACTAGCACTATCACTAGAACTAACAATATACTTAGAACTAGAATCATTCGGGTTTAGCCGTCTTAAGAGACGTGTGGCTAAACCCGAATGATTCTAGTTCTTGGTTTAGTGTTAGTTCTAGATTTGCATTAGCACTGTCACTAGAACTAACACTAGAACTAGAATCATTCGGGTTTAGCCGTCTTAAGAGACGTGCGGCTAAACTCGAATGTTTCTAGTTTCTAGATATAGTGCTAATTCTAGTTTTGCATTAGAACTAACACTAGATCTAGAACTAGAATCATTCGGGTTTAGCCGTCTTAAGAGACGTGTGGCTAAACCCGAATATTTCTAGTTTCTAAGTCTAATGTTAGTTCTAGTTTTACACTAGCACTGTCACTAGACCTAGAACTAGAATCATTCGGGTTTAGCCGTCTTAAGAGACGCAAGGCTAAACCAGAATGTTTCTAGTTTCTAGATATAGTGCTAGTTCTAGTTTTGTACTAGATCTAGAACTAGAATCATTTGAGTTTAGCAGTCTTAAGAGACGTGCGGCTAAACCCGAATATTTCTAGTTTCTAGATATAGTGCTAGTTCTAGTTTTGCATTAGAACTAACACTAGATCTAGAACTAGAATCATTCGGGTTTAACCGTCTTAAGAGACGTGTGGCTAAACCCGAATATTTCTAGTTTCTAGATATAGTGCTAGTTCTAGTTTTGCATTAGCACTGTCACTAGAACTAACACTAGAACTAGAATCATTCGGGTTTAGCCGTCTTAAGAGACGTGCGGCTAAACCCGAATGTTTCTAGTTTCTAGATATAGTGTTAGTTCTAGTTTTGTATTAGAACTAACACTAGATCTAGAACTAGAATCATTCGGGTTTAGCCGTCTTAAGAGACGTGTGGCTAAACCCGAATATTTCTAGTTTCTAAGTCTAATGTTAGTTCTAGTTTTGTACTAGATCTAGAACTAGAATCATTCGAGTTTAGCAATCTTAAGAGACGTGCGGCTAAACCCGAATATTTCTAGTTTCTAGATATAGTGCTAATTCTAGTTTTGCATTAGCACTAACACTAGATCTAGAACTAGAATCATTCGGGTTTAGCCGTCTTAAGAGACGAATATTTCTAGTTTCTAGATATAGTGCTAATTCTAGTTTTGCATTAGCACTAACACTAGATCTAGAACTAGAATCATTCGGGTTTAGCCGTCTTAAGAGACGTGTGGCTAAACCCGAATGATTCTAGTTCTTGGTTTAGTGTTAGTTCTAGATTTGCATTGGCACTGTCACTAGAACTAACACTAGAACTAGAATCATTCGAGTTTAGCCGTCTTAAGAGACGTGCAGCTAAACCCGAATGATTCTAGTTCTAGTGTTAGTTCTACTTTTAGTTCAATAACATCATACAACAATCTAGCACTGAATAAGATGTAAAATTAGTACTAACACTAGCATTACAATTAACACAAGACCTAGAATTATAAACATTCGGGTTTAACCATGCGTCTATTTACACAGCTAAACCCGAATGTTTCTAGTTTTAGGTCTAGTGTTAGTTCTACTTTTTGTACCATTATATCCGTTATATCGAGATTTTACTGTATTAGTATTCATTTTTTGTTTAAATATGTAACATTATGTCGTTAAAAAGAAATTGGTTTATTTTTTAATAGTCTAAAGATCATCGTAAAGAAAAATCGGGAACTGTGAGTTTGATGCGGCGTTTGACAAGTATTAAGAGATCAAAATCCCCTCCTCCGGCTTCTTATTCAATGGATAATCCGGTTTTTGAGGATAGTTCTCTGTCTACGCCGAATGTTCATCCGGTTCATGTCAGGTATTTTTGCATGTTATTTGATTATTAGGGTTGTTTAAAAAAAAATTAATTTGATATTTCCAGAAAATAATTTGTATAAATGTAAAAATTGTCTTAAGTGTTATTTTGTTTGTAAACAAATGTTAAAATCACTAATAAGTTTGTGCTTTTTATTTTGTTTGTCACGGTTTGTTTTGTTGTTTTACTGATGCTTTTAAAAGAAATTTAACACGAAAAGATCCCGCTTTGTGATGAGTTGAGTTTCACAACGAAGTTTTTGCTTTATTTTTTTAAGCTTCAACACTTGACGATGACCAAGTCTTTATATTTATAAACAAAAAGTATTTTTTGTTTAATCAAGTTGCACCTAAATTTTGTTGGTTAATGTGTGATTATTTCAGTTTACAAAAGATTTTGTTACAGTTGTTCTCTCCTATAGTAAGTAAATCATCTGTTTTTAGGTAGGTAATAAATCGTCAAGATTATAAAAAAAATCAAAATTTCCTTCATAGAAAAAAATCATTTCCAATTCTAACAAATTCTTCATAAATTAGATTCAGATTTATTTAGTTAATTTTCTTCTTCCATTAAAAATTAATCTTAGGGCGGAATTAGACTGTTTATTTTGGTTAAAATTTATTTTGGCGGGTTTCATTGATATAATTTCTACTATTAGTTACCAATTATTAATTCAGCAACAGTAAATATTAATACAGCAATTTCCAAGCAAATTGTCGCGATCTACAATGCAAATATTGTCTTTAAAAAAATTATAGCTAAAACTGCGATGAATAATTTCTAAGAAATACGTGGTGTAGCTTTATTACTCATTCAAAAAATCCAACAGTTTTTTCAACAACATCTTCGGTAATTTCAGAAAGCTGTTTAGTTATTGATGTCAAATCATAGAGACATAATTGGGTAACATTTCAGGAAAATGTGAAACACTTTCGTAGAAATACTTTTTCCTTCTTATCAAACATGAAGTAGGCTACAAATTTTGTTTTTTTTAATGAATCTTCATTAAAATAGGTAGTAATTTTTATTACAAATTCAGATTCCTAATACAAAAATATGTGGAGTTTAATGTGGATTGTTGATTGAGTTATTTAAATATAAAAGTTTTTAATGGCTATCTAATACGCATTTTTGAAATATTGATCCATCTAGAAAGCAAAATAAGTAATAGTAACAGTTTACTGCGTTATGTTATATCTATTAACAACCTCAACTGGGTCTTAGTATAAATGTATTAAGAAATAAATATTATGGAAATCGAAGCGAAAGCTGAATTGGAGTGAGAAACGGAGTGAATCGTCAGGCACTATCCAGCACCAAAGATAAAGACAGAATGGAGAAAATAGTTATTAATTGATTGCACAATAACTGACTTGTGAAAGATTTTGGCACTGTGATAAAAGTTGAAAGACGCAAAACAAAAACGTCGTAGCTTATAATCGATGAATTAATAAGTTAATTAAAATTGTCTAATAAGTAAGTACCTACATCTGTGCCAAATTTTTTAGCAGTATTAAAGTCTGTTATTAAGATGTACCACAACATTCTGATAGTTATCTTCAGTTGGAGAGTAGAGAATTGGAAATCACTAGCCTACAAATAATAGCTATATAAAATTCTATTGATGACGCGATTCACAAAAATTGAACAAAACAGCTATTGATGAGGAACGTCATATTTGATTTCTAAGTCAGAGTGAATAATAGTAATTTGTCAAGAAGAGAGAATGATCAACCCGATTCCTTAATTAAGCCTTGTTAATGTTAAGCAATACCAATCACATCATTTGAGATCCGATTATAACGTGAAGTAACAGATGAAACAGAAATAAGTTGAAAATCGCAAAAGTTAGAACTGAATTTTTTTTGTCAAGAGAATAATTGAAAATATGCTTAATAACAAAACTTTAAATTTAATCAACAATGTGTAAAACAATAAATAAAAGCTGCTTGAGAACTGCACCTACATATGAATTCACTATACAGGATGTTTAATAATATATGCGCAGAACTTCAGGACAAAAAAGGTACTGTAGGTCATGACCTCTAAAGTTGACCGTTTTCTAGAAAAATCAACTTTTAAGTTGAAAAGCATGGTCAATTTTCTGAATTAAAAATTTGTTTTTACAATTAAACAAAATTTATATAAACGTTAGAACAAGTAACAAAAGCAAGCGTTAACTTCATAATTGCAAAATTAAAAAAATGATACAAAAGTTTAGGCTTTAAATTTTATAATAAAAGCTACCTCCTTTCAAAATAACAATTTTATTAGTTTGTACCTGTAAAAAGTAAACTTATATTAAAAAATTAAAAATGAATTACACAAACGCTGAAATGTGCGAAATGCATTACCTTTACGGAATGGCGTGCGGTAATTTGGCAGAAGCAAGGCGGTTGTATAAAAAGACATCTTGATCGCCCAGTACCACACCATAACTTGTTTCTACGCATGCGCTAACGACTATGGGAAAATGGAAGTTTTAAAAGGAATACTGCTGATAATGGGCGGCCTATGGAGGTTGCAAATCCCTAAGTAGAAGAAGCTGACCTCAACGAAATTGATGAAAATCCGACCACAAGTACCAGAAAAATTGCTCACAACTTAAACCTATCTCACTCGACGGTTTGGAGAATTTTGAAAACGCAATTTTTGTGTCCCTACCATATCCAAAGAGTACAAGTATTTTCAATTTTCGCAATAACCACATATGGGCTGAAGAAAATCCACATGAAATTGCAGAAGGCCATCATCAGCAACAATTTTCCGTAAATGTTTGGGCTGCCATCGTCGGTGATCATTTGATAGGCCTACATTTTTTACCGAATAGATTAAACGGTGCAGATTATCGACAATTTCTAGAAGAAGTACTGCCGGAACAGCTGGAAGATGTACCGTTTCAAGTAAGACAAGACATGTACTTTATGCATGATGGAGCTCCGGCCCACTTTAGTTTGGTTGCTCGCCAATACTTGGACGACAAATACTCAGACCGTTGGATCGGTCGAGGAGGTCCACATCCTTGGCCACCGCGATCTCCCGAATTTAATTGTTTAGATTTTTTCTTTTGGGGTCATCTGAAAACCCTAGTCTACGCTACTCCAGTCGAAAATGTTGACCAATTAAGAGAGCGCATTGTTGTATCTTGCAACATAATTCGGAACACTCCGGGAATTTTCCTGCGTGTTAAGCGGCCCATACACGACGTCTCTTGCAGCGACGTCAAGAGTCGAACGGCATGAAGCATCGTGTGTAGAGAAGCGTCAGGACTCATGCGACGGCAACGGATTCAAGACCGTGGCAGGCTCCGGCGCCTTGCAAGAGTTAACGTGTATGAGATTGGGACTTGAAACCAATTTGTAATCTATTGGTAGCAGTACCTAGCCTTGTATAAACAATATCTATCTTTTTAAATAGTTTCTAGTATTGTATAGGTAGTATATGTCTTCCGTAAGGAATTATATCTCGTATTGTATCTCGTATTTCGTCTTCTGCAAGTAGTATTAGTATTCAGTTTCAGGAAGACAAATACTACCTATACAATACTAGAAACTGTTTGCAGAAGATAGATATTGTCTATGGAAGGCTAGATACTGCTACCAATAGCCAAGTAATTGGTTCCAGAATACTAATACTGCTTGCAGAAGACTAAATACTTCCTATAGAGGACCAAAAATTCCTTACGGAAGACAAATACTACCTATACAATACTAGAAACTGCTTAAAAAGATAGATATTGTTTAACTACAACAGGTAATATACGGGTGTCTCCGAAATCCGTATACAACGGAAGACCACAGATTCCTTGGCTCAAATTAGGTAGATTTAAGTTAAGTTATCTATATCCAAAGTTGCTTCGTTTCACCGCTAGAGGACTTCAAAGTTACCAAAAAAGTTATTTTATTTTTTATAACTCGAAAACGCGTAAATCAATTGAAACCATTTTTCAGAAGTGAGTTCAATTAACGTATTTTTATGGTTTTTGATATAATTTTAGAAACACAGGAATGATGGAAAAGCTATATGTTCACTGAATATTACTCCATTTTTTTTTTCTGGCCAAGCCAAAATTACATTATTATAATTTTTGAATAGCCCATTTAGTTCTGAACCGTTCTTGTCTCTTATAGGATTTTGATTATATTAGGCAATTAGGCAATTTTAAGGGTACTTTGATATATAAACCATGGGCGATTTGGGCTCCCCTAAGGAGCTACGCCCCTCCAAAAATGGCGGAAAATTTTGTTTTAATTTTTTTTTTTCAAAAACCATAAACGCTAGGACAACGAAATTTGGGGAATATGTTTAACTGGTAGTAGGGCACGTTTTCACCCTATTTGTACTTTCAACCTATCCTTCTAAACTACTAAACGTAACCACCCCCTTTACATTTTTGCTAACATTTTTTTATGCAGAGGGTAAATACATTAAAAAAAAATTACATAGGTAAATGAAAGTATCCTAAAACTTTTTTGTCTCTCTAAAATTTTTCCAAAAACGACTAATTTTTGAGAAAAAAAATAATAAAGCAAACACTGCCCGTTCAACAACGGGGTTGTCGATCAAAAGTTGGAATGAATTTTTAATGAAAAAATCTTAGTAGGCTTTGCAATCTTTGTCAGAAATATTTTTGACGTTTAAATGTCAGTGGTTTTCTTACTATTATTATTGTTTTTCAAATTAATGTATGAATAAAGTTCTACCGCATTTACGCTCGTTCACTCGACGTTTCAAAATTTTAAATAAAACAATAATAATAGTAAGAAAACCACTGACATTTAAACGTCAAAAATATTTTTGACAAAGATTGTTAAGCCTGCTAAGATTTTTTCTTTAAAAATTCATTCCAACTTTCGATTAACAACGCTACAGCTTAATAGTTAGTGTTTGCTTAATTAATTTTTTTCTCAGAAACTATTAACTTTTCGAAGAACATCAGACAGGCAAAAAAGTTTTAGAATATTTTCGTCTATCTAAATAAAATATTTCCAATGTATTTATCATCCTCATAAAAAAGATCTAGACAAAAATTGAACGGGGGTGGTTACGTTTAGTAACTTAGAAGGGAAGATTGAAAGTACAAATAGGCTCGAAACATGCCCTATTATAAGCTAAACATATTTCCCAAATTTCATTTTCTTGGTGTTAATGGTTTTCGGGAAAAATAAAATAAACCAAAATTTTTCGCCATTTTTGAAGGGGCGTAGCTCCGCAGGGGAGTCGAAATCGCTGATAGTTTATATGAGAAAGTACCCTTAAAATTGCCTAAAGAATCACCCCCTGAAGTTTGGGCACGTCATTCAGATACACCCTGTATAAGTGGTTAAGCTAGAAAAAAGGTATTTTTAAATATCTGCAAGCCTTGAGCATTGCAATTACAAAACCTCATCGTAATTAGCACTGATTTCAATTAATTGCAATTTATGTTTAACATGAAATCAATATCATTAATTGATCAAAAGCTTGGGAATTCAATGATCCTAAAAGCATACAGTGTTAGGAAAAAACGTAGTCGTATTTAGTTGTTTCAGTACTGGAGAGAAAAACTTTTAATCAATTCTAAGAAACGAAAGGTAACAATAAACACAAATAGAAAATATTTACAGAAATTATTCAAAATGACCACCGTTTTTCAAAATACATAAATTTACACGTCGTAAAAAGTTATCGTTTAGACTTTGAATTGATGCTGATGACGGACTGCTGTGGTCATATGCGGATTTTCTTCAGCATAAACATGATCGTTACGCATGTTAGTGATACCAGATCTGGTAAACGTTGCCTCATCTGTGAATAAAATCCTTCTACTAAAATGTGGGTCGTGGATTCTTTCGTTTTGGATGAGTTGGCAGAAAGTCAAACGCATTTCGTGATCCACAGGTAAAAGCTCTTGCACTTTTTGAAGGTGGTATGGGTGTAATAATTGTTGACAACATCTTTAGAGACTTCTTGTTGATTTCCTAAGCCCCTCGTACTAAGGGTCTTTTGCCACTCTTTCAAGAACCCTTTCTTCCAACTCTACAGTTCGCCTTGTATGTTGACATCCACAGTCTGTGTGTTTCGGTTTCAAGCTACCTGTCTCCCTGAGACGTCTTACAATATGTCCAAACTTTTGGTGATTTGGCACTCGACGATTAGGAAACTTCTCCCTATAGACTCGAACGGTTTTGTGACCATTAAATTGACATTGGCCATAAACTATAATCATATCTACTTGCTCATCATATGTGTAAGTATCCATTATAAAAATAACATTCGTACAATCTAATCTAAATTCTCATTCTATTTGCTTTACAGAATGTGAAAACATTTCATATTATCTCATTATTCATATGTTGATCGATTCTGGCAACACCACTCATACAATTGTATTGACTCAAGTGTCAATATAGAACTTAGAAAACCACCGAAGGCATCCTCGTCCAAGAGAACAAATTCTTTTTCCAATAAATGCTTTTTTTATTTGAAAACTTTTAAGTGATTTTTTTAACCTCCTTCGTATGTTGTGGGTCGCGAGGAGGTCTAGATAGTGATATTATTCTACTTGCGATTTAGTTTGGAGTTGCCATGTGTAATTAGGCTACTATCACCCAGCTTTCTGAAGCTTCGATGCTTAAATTTTTAAAACCCAGTGATTAGGTGGTTTCCATTAATTTCTCTCAGCGTTGTTAGTCAAGATTTTCAAGTAATTTTTCATTTTTCCATCATTCCTGGATCCCTAGGTGGATCATAGTATTCTTTCTGGCATACTCAAAAAATTTTCTTTTTGACAATGCTTCCACGAATTTCAATTTTTGCTATTTCTGGATTATGAACAGTTGAGCAAAACTGGAATAAGTACTTCTAAAAAAGTAAACACCTGAAGACACAAAGATATTTAAATATCTAGTATATCTTGAACTACTAATAATTAATATATAAACCATTGAAAATTAAAACGAAAATGAACCGTCTAATTTTCTCCAAATTAGAAGCATTTATCATTTTCCCCATCAATTATTTTTTTTTAAGTAAATCAGTAAAGCAACAAATTAATTTTCATCAAACCCACTTAAATTAACGTAAAAATCATTTTTTTGAGTTTTTTCTTGGATTTAATATTTTTGAGAAAGCATGATAAAAAAAACACTTGGTGCACGTCACATTGTGTGCCCCCAGGTCCGGCTCGTGCCCCAGCCAGCTCCTTCAACAAGTCCAACCCGTGGACCATCACCGTATTTACGCCTCCACGTCCTCGCAAAGACTCAAACACAAAGAACGTCCAACTGTTCTTACACAAAGCCCCAGGTCTGTCTCAAATTCTTCTCAAAAGACTTAATAATCTCACTCTCACTTCTTTCTCTGGATTACAACCTTTTTTGTATATAAATGCTTTCATGTTTCGTTTGCTTTTATTGTTTTTTTTGCTTCTTTTATTAATTTTCTTTAAAATATAGCAATAAAACTTCGATATAATGGACTAATACATGGACGAAATTGTCTGTTGTAGCCAAAAATCAATTTAACGCTGAATTACAACTAATACTAGCATTAGAACTAACACTAGATCTGGAACTAGAAACATTCTATTAGATATTTTCTAGTTCTTGGTCTAGTGTTAATTCTAGTTTTACACTATCACTAGAACTAACACAAGACCTAGAACTAGAAACATTCGGGTTTAGCCGCACGTCTCTTAAGACGGCTAAACCCGAATGATTCTAGTTCTAGGTCTAGTGTTAGTTCTAGTGATAGTGCTAGTGCAAAACTAGAACTAACACTAGACCTAGAACTAGAAACATTCGGGTTTAGCCGCACGTCTCTTAAGATGGCTAAACCCGAATGATTCTAGTTCTAGTGACAATGCTAATGCAAAACTAGAACTAACACAAGACCTAGAACTAGAATCATTCGGGTTTAGCCGTCTTGAGAGACGTGCGGCTAAACCCGAATGTTTCTAGTTTCTAGATATAGTGCTAGTTTCTAATTCTATTCCGAAACTTTCTAGTTCTGGGTTTAGTGTTAATTCTAGTTTTAGTTCAATGAAAAATATAGAACAATTTAACACTGAATAACAACTAAAACTACAACTAACACTAGCATTGGAACTAACACCAGATCTAGAACTAAACACATTCGGGATTAGCCGTCTTAAGAGACGTACGGCTAAACCCGAATGATTTAGTGTTAGTTCTACTTTTTGTTCAAAAAATGTTTTATTCGTTATATCCGAAGTCTGTTATATCGAAGTGTTTTCGTTGTTTTAAAATAATTTTTATAGTAGGACAACGGAAAATCCAACGGGAAGTTCCGGTTCAAGCCCCGATATTCATCACCATCGAAAATCGAATTCTTTGGATGCTGGTGGCGGTGGGAATAAAACAAAAACGAATTCACAAAACGTGCGCGAACGCGTTCGTTGCATCGCTCCATATCCACCAAATACGGAGTACGAACTTGAATTACAAGTTAATGATATTATTTATGTGTGTAAAAAACGAGATGACGGTTGGTATAAAGGTACGCAGCAAAGAACTGGACGAACTGGATTGTTTCCTGCTAGTTTTGTTGAAGCTTTAAAGTAATTAATTAAAACTGATTATTATGATTCGCTATCTCATATGATTAATTAACCGTATTATTATGTATTTGTTATTAATATCGTAATTGTATTATTTCTTTTTGTGTGTAAAAAATATTTAACAGGAACATATCATAAGGAACAAAAATAATTATTAACTCTTTACTTAAAGTAAATAGTTATTTATTAATTTATATAAATATAAACAAAATAGCGTGTGTAAATAAATAAAAATAACGATTAAATAATAAGTATAAATAAAAGAAATATTTTTCGTTAAGAAAATGTAACAAAGAAGAACAAAGTTGGGGAACAGAAGGTTTTGGAATTGATGTGTTCATATTAAAACGTCATTTTTGTTCGTTTGTAAATATTAAAAATGTTTTTTTTTTTGAAATATTAATTTATTGTAACATTGCTAATGTTTAAGTTTACGCTTTTATAACAACATAAGTTTCCTTCTCAAAACCAAATATTTTCTATTTAAAACAAATACGTCTTTTCAAAGCACAAAGATTCTTTTTAAAGGTTTGTTTTTAGATATCTTTCTAACAAATTGTTTTTAAATAATTATGCTAACATCTATTAACATTTAGCGATTAAGTATGGCCATAATATTCATAAAATAACTTAAAAACAATAATAAGTAATCAATATTTCTCGCTCTTTCAAACTCTTAATCGAAACTAAATTGTATAATCATATTTAAATATTTGTATTGTATTCATTATTCTGTTTTCTTGGTATTAAAACAAAAATATAACATTTATCTACTTCAAATTTTTTAAGGAAATTGAGTATAAAATTTTGGTGAGGATATAAATTAAAATAAACATTTGTAATAAGTTTTGAACAAAATGGAAAATATACTTTTATGGGTGCATTCTGTATTAATTAATTAATAACTTATACAATTTTTGATTATTGTGTTATTAATAAATATTATTAAACACTAAAAGTTTTGTTGATTACAAATTTTGTAATGATTATTTAGTTTCATTTTGGAGAGTTTTAGTAATATGAGTGATCAATGCAAAACGGTTTCATTGCAACCTTAATATAGAGTTGATCTTTAAGAAAGGCAGTTGGCTGAGATGGTAAGAGACATAAGTTGTGGATAACCCAAGGTTCGAGGTTACCTCGATGTTTTATTTTTGAAATTTAATCATAAAATATGAAAAATTTCGAAAATATTTAAATCGGCACAAATTTGTTCAAAAAAAATAAATTTTGAGGGACATTTTTTAATCAATAGCTTAATTTTGTATTTTTATCTAAGTTACAAACCTTTGTTATAAAAATTTTTAACTTTACTTAAATTTAGTTGAATTATAAACCCCCTAAAGAAAAAAGGAACCGTCTTGTAGTAAGTTTCGCTACTGAATATGAGATGTCGCACGAAAATTTTAAAAATTATCTTATTTTTGCAAAAATTATTTTTGTTTTTGTGCTTTTTCGACCTTTTCATTTATTTCAATTATTAGAAACTAAGACCTTTGTTACCCGACGTACCTTAACTACAAGACTTTCTTATAAATATATAATAAATTGTGGCATATATTATTTATAGTTGGAATATTTTGATGTATCAATACTTAAGTAAGACACCTTCGTTTAGTTGAATATCCAAACGTGTATGTTTTATTGGAACTTTCGATGTTTGTTAAACGATGAGTTTCATGAGTGACATTGAGGTTGTAACACCAATCAAGTTGTTGATCTTGTTTACATATAAGGACTTGATCCACGAATATCTTCGAAAAAGCGCAATTAAAGTAAATTCGCTGTATAATAACTCGCTCAAGTGAAGTGTTTTTGTAAAATGAAAACAACAAAAGTCAAAGATTTTTGACTCCTCATCTAGAAAATGTTGTGGAGGGCTCTTCGCAAGATGGGAGTCTCTTAATTATACTCATAAGAAACCTCTACGACAACACCATGGCCATAGTGAGAATAGAGAACCAACATTCTTTGACCTTTAAAACTGGTAGAGATGTTCGCCAGGGATGCATTACATTACATAGAATACATATCGGGTAGGCGGACCAACCAACCTTGCACCGCGACCCTAAGGATCTATTGTACCCCGATAGATATCATTATCAAATTTCACCGTGCAGTCCAATGCTCTTAACGAACATTAATACCTTGCTCGGCGAAAGGTCATTCAGATCTTTTGAGGAGATAAACTGCGACCCAAAAATCGAGAATCTGATACGGTTAACGGCAGGGCAGTGGCATAAAACATGCTCAACCGTCTCTGCTTCCTCCGCACATAGTCGGCATTCAACATCGTCGGCTAAACCCAACAAGTTGAGGTGTGCTTTTAATCGGCAGTGCCCAGTAAAAACACCCATTAGAACTTTTATGCTACTACGGGCAAGTCCTAAAATATTCCCGGGTTTGACAGTGGCGATGTTAATAAACACCTTAGCATGTCTCATTCCAGGAGAACTGGTCCACAGTAGGCGAAGTCTCTCTTCAGCCCACAGTCCAATCCTATATTTGGCCATCGCAAATGATACACCAACTGCTGGTTCCGGTCCCACAAACGCTTCAGCGCTGCCATCTCGTGCTAGCTTATCTGCCGCTTCATTGCCAGCAACCCCAGAGTGACCCGGGACCCAGATCAGAGAGACTCTGTTATCACAACTCAGTGTGTTTAATGTTCTCTTACAATCATTAACCAGAGCCGACACCGTTTTCACGGCTTGCAGCGCCTGGAGAGCGGCTTGACTGTCTGAGAAAATTCGTACTGTCATGTTCTTCACCCCTCTTTCAAGAAGGATTTTAGCACCCATGTCAATAGCAAATACTTCCGCCTGGAATACAGTACAGTACGTACCCAGGCTGTAGGCTTGCTTAATTCGAGGTGTCTGGCAGTATACTCCTGCTCCTACCCCTTCAGGCGTTTTTGATCCATCTGTGTACAAGCAAATGTCTGCCCGAACCAGAGAATTTTCATTTTCGATCCAGGACTGCCGCTCAGGCAGTACAATCTGGTATCGAGCATTAATCACTGATAGTGATACCGCCAAATCTGACGGCATTGATAGCACAGTATCAGTGCTTATAATGTCTTCCGCAGCCCATTGGTAGGACATGTCGGAACAGTTTTGAGCATATTGCTTAAATCTGTAAATGGTTGTTCTAGCCACTTTCTCTATATGCAAATGCAGAGGAGATAGGCCAAGCAGAACCTCCATTGCTAGAGTTGGCGTTGTGCCTATCGCACCAGAGATTGCCAATCCAGCTACTCGTTGAATTCGTGAAAGTTTACTGATAACTGAAGTCTGTCGGACTTTCCTATACCAGGCTGCTGCTCCGTATGTGATCATAGGTCTAACCACAGTCACATAGAGCCAGTACAGTCTTTCAGGGGTAAGACCCCAATTTTTTCCACAAAGACTGCGACAAGTCCACAAGGATAGTCTAGCTTTGTGCAAAACTCCCTGCAAATGTCCATTCCATGACAGGGTTTTGTCTAGGATTACTCCTAGATATTTGACTTCCTTTGAGAAAGGAATTTCTTCACCTTGGATAGTTGGGCGGATTAGTCCATCCAACTTTCGCTTCCTGGTGAAGGGCACAACAATTGTCTTTTGCGGGTTTATTGAGAGGTTCTCTCCCTTACACCAAGCGCAAATGGTATCTAGGGTCACCTGGAGGACTTTAGATATCCTCGGCAAACAGGTTCCTTTGACCATAACGACAATGTCATCAGCATAAGCTTGTATTTCCACACCAACGGCTTCGACTATCGCAATCAGATCGTCAACTAGGAGGGACCAAAGCAGGGGAGATAACACCCCTCCCTGCGGGCAGCCACCTCCCGGCCTGAAGCGTATCGTATCACCGTGGAGTGAAGTAGAAACTATTCTACTATCTAGCATATTGCGGATCCAACCCGCTATAGTTGCTTCCACTCCCCTGTCAAGAGCAGCTCTTTCAAGAGATTGTGGTATTGCGTTGTTGAACGCTCCCTCTATATCCAGAAACGCACAAACCAAGATTTCTTTATCCTGCAGCGTCCTGGATACTCTACCAACTAAGTTGTGTAGAGCCAATTCTGCTGATTTTCCCGCTTGATAAGCATACTGGTGGCGACTCAGTGGACCAGATACCAATGGCACCGTACGGATATACCGTTCCAGAACTTTTTCAAGGGTTTTCAGCAGAAATGACGTTAGGCTGATGGGTCGAAAGGCATTAGGAGTAGGGACCGAACGGCCCGCTTTGGGTATGTAAGATACCCGTACCTTAGTCCGTTCTGCCGGCACATATTTCCAGGCGACACTCGCTCTGAAAATTTTTACCAAAATTGGCAACAACAAAGATGCCAGGGATGCATACTCTCCTTGATCTTTTTAACATCTTTGGAGAATATATAATCAGAAAGGCATTAATTGGGAGCAAGAAGATTACAAACCTGTGATATGCAGACGATAAAATTTCGATAGCTGCATCTAAAAATGTAATGGTGGATCTTCTAAACCGAGTTGGGACTGAGAGTAATAAATGTGGCCGCAGAAGAATCTATCTAAGCCTGGAAAGACTGCTCTATTACAACAAGTACTAAAATGTGCCTAGTTCAATCGCTGATCTTCTCCATCTTCCGATATGAACCTCAAAATATCTTGAGGGTTTTTGGATACATTACACGAACAGATGATAATGGAGAGGTTGATAGTATCAGGAAACGTAGAGAGAAGAAGGTCCAGATGAGGTTCACCAACCCGATTCAGAAGATTCATGCACTTCGTTTTACGGATCTGTAAATAAGGCCCGAAATTGAAATTAGTGGAGAGTACTGACGGCACAAGTTGCTAATGATCACGATTCTCAGTAATGAGAGAACGACTAGAAAGAAAGAAGAAAACAACAAAGTGCCTAACAAACTTTGTGTCATTGGTACCTCTCTCACAGCTAATAAACAAATAATAAAACAATAAATGCTTCAAACACGTTTTAGACAATTAGGTGTTGATCACATTTTCCATTATAGCGCATTTAATCACCCATTTTCTTACACTATAATAATTGAGAGCCATAGAAGGAACTGAATTATTTTGGCGGATATTTAGGATATAGGAAAACAAGCACTACTTGTAAGAAGGGTAAATGGGATTATTATCTAGAATGGGAATGTGTTAAGACCATTGCGAAAGAGACATTATTATTATAATGTATTTGCGTACTTAAGATATCAGAGATTGCAGTGATCTAAAAGGTAAAGGTTTTGTATTCAAAAAACGTTATCATAGTGAATAATCCTTTTTAAAAAACGACCAAAGACTGCTATCTCTATCAACAATAGATGGCTTAAAAGTTCTACGGAAATACTCTAAAACGCCATTACCTTGTTGATAAAACTGTTGTAGTTAACATTATCACATTTAGTAACTGTTGGCAGAAGATTTTCATAACATTCATTTAGAACAAGATAAGGTTTTGCAAGTTATGCCGTACTAAAAACTGAACTATCACTAATTTTTGCAGATTTTTCTAAATCTCACTCTACATGTTTGTTATGGATGTGAAATGTAAGTTTTAAACAATATCTTCTTCTGCGCAACTGATCGGTTAAGATAAATTTGCCAAGTTGTGTATCTATTTTTAGTCATTTCAGTGTATAATTATGACCAGAACCAAGTAATAGCAATTTAGCCCGGACCCTAGGCTGAATTATTTAATCCTAACATGCGTAGAAAGAATTGGTGAGACCTGCCTTGGCCTGCCATAAGGATTGGTGCTGGTACCGATGTGCCAATAACAAGATCACAGCTACGCCGATGACTGGACGATTGCAACAAGATGTATATCATTCGACGAATCAAAGGAGATTCTGACAGCCGACCTAGAGTATCTGAGAAAGTACTTCTGGAAATGGCGCCTTCAACCAAACGTTAGCAAAACTGAGAATACAATTCGAGAAAAAACATTCGTTCAAAAAACATAATGAAAACATCAGAGAGACTAAAATCGAGGAACAATATTATACAAAAACTTTGTGGAACAAAATAGGGAGCGTGGGTCTCCACCCTGCGCTCAACAGCACTCAGTTTGTCTTCTCAACGGCGCAATACTGTGCAAGTGTCCATAAAATCGATGAGAATGATCGCAGGGGTTATCAAATCTACTCCAGTAACTCCAAACCTGGACCGCATAAATGTCCTCACAAGATCTTGAGCAAGCAAAAGCTATCAATACACGAGGAGATTGAAGACGCCAACCAAACCTGCATCCAAGCCAGAAAGCCACTGATCAAAGATGAAGAATTCAGCCTGACTAAAACGCATGGCATCAAGAATAAATAACACAGCAGAATAATCAGATTCAAAATCTCCTGGTTGCACCAGCAATATACAGGGTGACTCAAACCACTGATAGACTTCTAGGGTAGGTAATACATCAAAAATTAAGATGAATAGTCTTAATATACATGGGCTTGTAAATGCCACCTTAACGAGATATAAGGGTGTCAAAGTTTCTTTAAAATTAAACATTATCTGCAATAAAAAAACCCTTTTTTAAAAACATTTTCAACGCCACTGCTAATTTTGTCAATTTTAAGAAAAACACGTTTATAGAAAATTTGTTAATCCAATCAAAAACTGTTACTTTAATCAAAGTTTTGTAGAGACCAATTGATAGATAATTGATCACTTTACACGAAAATACTGCCCGTTTGACAAAATTAGCAATGGCGAAGACAATATTTTAAAAAACGGCTTTTTATTGCAGATAATGCTTTATTTTAAAGAAAGTTGTATAGAGCCCAGGTATATTAAGACTGTTAATCTTAATTTTTCATGTATTTTCATGCTGACAGACTCTAGCGGTGTTTTGAATCATCCTGTATAAGACCAAGTTCGGATTCTGCAAAAAATGGAATGAAAAAATAAAACATTTCTTTCTTGTTGTATAAATATTTTTTTCTTTACTATAATCATTTCAACATTAATAACAATGATATAATTCCTAACTACAATATGTATAATATAATAATAATATTTATAATTCATATATTCAATATAATTTTTAATTTGTTACATTATGTAAAAGGTAAAAGATTGTATACATACTTCTTCTTTTTTTGTTATTATTATTATTATTTTTTCTTTCTTTACTTCTCGTATAATCTTGATCCAATGAGCACCGAATATATATGTATATCTTTCGTTTAGAAAAGGCTTTCGTTTTAAGGTCACAGGTCAAACGGATATAATCACAAATAATTACATTATTAGTTTTTAAAAACAAAAAAAATAATTAAAAACGTAAAAAGGCACTTAAAGAAAACTACTATGAGATTAATTTGTAAAAAATAATAATGTACACCTAAATGATTTTTTGTATTTATAATAATTATTATAAAATTATTTATTAATTAATCATGGTACAGCGAATGGCACCACTTTATTTTTTAAAACGATAAAATTATTTTAATCATTTATTTATTAAAATGATATCATTTGTTTTATTAATTTATTATTACTACACGGGGGAAAAGATGATCTATTTACAATAATACTACTAAAAAAATTTACGAATAAATTGTTTAAAATTAATTTAAAAAATGTTATTAAAGGTATTTTTAACGTTGTTTAGCCAATTAGTGGAGATTTCTGCAAAAATAACACCCAACAAAATTTTTTTTTTCCTTTTAAAAATGAAAGCTCTTATAAAAAGCAATATTTACAAATTATTTTTTTTTTAATACATTTTTATCGATTAATTTAATAAATAAATTAATAAGAAGCTTACAAATATATACAAAAATGACTGATTTTCTTTTTTATTTTTATTTATATTTATAATAAAATCTAAATTGATTTTTTTAAGGTGAATTTTTTCTTACTGATTGTGCTCTTTTTTCCCATTCAGCCATTCTTTGATTAAAATTTTTGGGCTTATTATCTTCCTCAATAAACACCCCTTTATCCAAAATAATTTCATCCTGATTTTTAATCCACTCAGTTTTCGGTCTTTCCGCCAACGAATACTGTTTATGCAACAATTTCTCCGTGTTAACATCGTTCGTTTTTTGATTTAAACTAACCGCTCTTTGGTATGTTGTAACAATTTTATTATTAACAATCGGTTTTCTTAACGTTACTTCCGGATCTATTTTCGTTTTATTACGTTCATCTTGATTTTCTTTATCACAATCGCGACTTTTATTAACATCGTTTTCTTCGTCAATCATTTTTACTACTTGTTGACTTAAAGCTTCGCTATCGGAGTCTTTTAATTTTAATGATCTTCTCGCGAATACTTTCATTAATTCCGGTTCGTCATCTTTTTTTTGATTTATTATTGATTTTCTTCGGTATGTTACTTGGTTTGTATCGTTTATGTTTATGTCGTTGGCTGAATGAGTTTTTGATTTTAATTCAATTTTTTCATTATCTGATTTTAAATTTTTATCGATTTCTTTTTCTTTTTGTAACTCGACCATATCTAAACTTGATGATTTTATTTTTAATATTGGTTTATCTTGAATAAAATTCGATTTTTTTAATGGAATATTATCGGGTTTTTTTAATATTTTTGGTGTTGACATCGTTGTTATTTTTATTAAAGCGGTTGCTGTGTGATTTTTATCAACATCATCTTTCTCTATTATTTCTATATCTTCTTTACTAAATTTACGAACATTTTCAATTTTTTCTGATTCATTTTCAACAACTTGATTATCTTTATCATCATCTTTATTTAATTTTAATTTATTCTCATCAGCTACATCATCAATTATCTGAATTTCTTTTTTAATTTCTTTCTTAATTTCAATTTTATTTTCTTTCTTAATTTCCTTTTTAATTTCAATTTTATTTTCGACTTTATTTTCTTTCTTAATCTCATTTTGAACCTCTTTCTTAGTATCTTTTTGAATTTCCTTTTTAATTTCAATCTGACTCTCCCTTTTTTGTTCTTTTTGAACATCTTTTTTAATTTCTTCCTTCTGCACTTTTTCAGATTGCTCATCAATAATTGGAGGTGTTTTTGGTTTCCCAGTTGATAAAACAACATTATTATTAGATTTCTCAACCTTATGTAATTGAACATTCATAAACTCAGGTATTTTCGCACCCGTTTTTATTATTTGTGTTGATTCTTTTTTGACTTGAACCTTTGTAATCAAAACTTGATTTGATTCGGTTAATTTAAAATCATCATCTTTTTCTAATTTAACATCATCATTTCTATTTTTTAACTCCTTAATTTCCTCTTTAAATATTTTCACTTCTTCTTTAGTAATCTCACTTCTTTCCTCTTTATGACTTCCAATACTAACAATAGCTTTATGACTTGGACCTGAAGAAATTGTAATTGATGATTCCCCAAACTTATTTCCCTCATTTTTATTTAAAACCTCCAACTTTGAGATACTCTCAAAACTATTTGATTTAACAACATCAACATTTTTCGTTTCAACCTCACATTTCGTGTCGTTTTTAATGACCTTAAAACTATGTGATTTTGCAATGATCGGTTTGAAATCTTGATTATCAGTGAAATTAGTTAACGATTTGAAACCTTTTTCGTCCTCGATTTGTTGAGTGACCGTTTTCTTTTGAAATTGTGATGATTCAATTTTCTTTTCGTTTTTGATAAAATGCTTTTTATCTTCTGATGTAGGAGAAAATTGTAGGTTTGTCATTCGTTGTTGTAATTTAGATTCTAATTCTAAATGTAAAGGTGAAACATTTTTTTCCGGCGATGATTTAGTTAATATTAAATCGTCGTGTCTTTGTTGATTCAAATCGGGTGAAGGTGGGATATCATTCGGAGCGATTCTTTGTCTCGAAGCTGGTCCAGATCTTGGAAATGGTTTTGGAGGGATTTCCAAAACTTTCTTCTCAATATCAATCGGTGATGACACACTCTTTTTATCAACATCATCAATTTTAATTTGATCACATTCGTCCTTATTTTTTTCTTTGTCTTCTTTCGATCCTCGTTTCTTTTTGCCGCTTCTTCTAATTGGAAATAATTTCCCCAAAAACGACTCGTTTTTCTTTTCGGCACCTTCATCTTCTTCTTCGCCCAACGTTCCAATTTCATCTTGAGATTTTGTTCCAGCGTTCGAGCGACTTCTATGCAGCTTATTCGCATTGGAATTTGGCGAAGCTAAGCCAGGAGGAAGAGAAGAGCATTTTAATTGGTTTACTGTGAGATAACGAGATGTCTCGGAACGTTTGCTCACAGAGGAAGAAGCTGTGTAAAAATCTGTGACGGTTTCTGCAACAATTTTTTTTTGAAAACATAACAAAAAGCCATGCTTAATTTTTATAAAAATAGCTTTATTCAATGATAATGTTAATAGCTTGGTTTTAGATTTTTTATGAAGGAAACAAGCTTAGGAAACAAAATGAGTTTTTTAGTAGAAAAAATCTTACCTCTTATTGTAATTTCTGGAGTAACGCTTCGATTGGAAGATTCTTCGTTAACTTCTAAAGTTGTTGGAAGTGCGTTTGTTGATATTGGTTGATTTCTTCTTTTTCTTGGTGCTCCATATCTTCTACTAGGTCTAACGGAAACGCGATGATGTGCTGCGCTGTGATTTAATGGGGTTGAACTGTTTTGGACGTTTTCTAATTCTAAATCTAAAAAGAATTATTTTGTTAAAATCATCCCATCTTTTAATTGAAAACCTCAAATAGTATCGAGATGAATGTTTAAATCACCAATCAACAGCAAATCTGGTAATCTACATACAGTACTTTGGCAATCCATGATCTGATAGAGATGCAAGAAAGTCATAGGCAAAGCAATTTCGTCGTGCTCAAACCGTGCTGAATGAGGAGTGCTTGGACAGAACACTTGATTACTTGAAGATTACCACTGAAACTATCTACCACACATACGTTTCTGCAACATAGAGTCCTTTTATCGAAAAAGCAGAAGACTGGATAGATTTGGTCTCGTTATAAGAATCAGCAATCAGAGCAACCACTTATATTAGACATGCAAAAGCCGACAGGGTTAACGACTTTAGTCAGTATTTCGTTAATTGTTACAATAGGTGTATTACTAGAAGACGAAGTTGACTGGAAAAGTCGAAAATAGCAAATTCTATATATTGGTAAACCTAGGCGAACGTCGTTACAGGTTTTGGTGACCCTTTGCCATGCAATATCTCACCGGTGACCTGCTTCTTAACCGTTTGCTATCAACCTTCCCCTGTATCATGAATTTCTTTATGCCGTCCTTCCGTATTGTTATTTATCATAGGGTACAATGTGAGATAACGAATGAGACTTTGGAACCGGTATCGGAAGATATAACCTGACCTACAGGTAACGAAACGCTCCTCATCGGGTCAATTCAAAGAAATAACATAATAAAAGTACTGAGAATAGCAGAAATAAAAAAATGGCACAAATTGCTACTCATCTTATTGTTAGTGATTTGATAATAATAATAATAATAAACTGCCTTTATTTCCAGAGTAAAGAGAACAAACAATAATAATAGTAACTATAGTTACTATAATGCAAAATAAAGATAATCAAAAAAGAAAAAAAAAAAAAACAATATTTAAAAAGAAAAATAACTTAAATACAAAACAGGTGGAAATAATATAATGAAATAAAACAAAAACAAATTATTCCACTTGCATTAAAATTAGATTGATCCACTACAAAGCAAACAAGAAGTCACTGTCGCTCAAATAAATGCCTAAACAATAACGTTCTGAAAGCACCCTCCCTTTTGGCCCTAATGGTGACGGGGATAGATTTATACAGCTTATAGGCACAGTAGCTAAACGCACGACAAAACAGAGCTGTACTATGAGCAGGCGGATTAACAACATTTTTATTTCTAATATTTATACTGTGTAGATCTCCTCTAAACTGAATCTTTTTACTCAAATAATTAGGCGAGCCAGTTGTGACAACCTTGTGATACAGTACTGAAGCCTGTAGAGTATAACGATTGTGAATATTCAGCTAAGTTAACTCTTTAGCTTATGAGAGATTCTTTCAAATTTTTTAATTCTGAATACATATCTCATGCAAGCGTTCTGCACTCTTTGCACTCTCAATCTATCCATGGAATCCAAACATGGATAGTAGACAGGAATACAATAATTAAGCAAAGACAGTACAAAACATTCACAAAGCATCTTTTTTATTTTTAAATTAAAAATATCTTTGAAAGAATAGAGTAATTTTAATTTCAAAAAACAAACACTTAATGTTTTAGTAATGTGCTGTTTGTACCTAAAGGCATTATCAACAACTAGCCCGAGATTCCTTGCCTGATCAACAATAGGTATATTGCAACCGTTCAACCTAAGAATCAGATTAGCTTTCAATTTCTCGACTTCCACATTTCTGCCAAACAGAATAACTACACTTTTATCAGGGTTTAATATCAAGGCGTCATTCTTTGCAAATTCACTGACATTCGCTAAGTCCTTATTAATTTTCCATGCTGTCCCCTCATATTCACGAAACGGAAAGTTGTAGTATAGCTGAGTGTCGTCAGTATACATATGAATTTTACAATAATTGACAGCTTTTGGAAGCATAGATGTGTATAAACAAAACAGCAAAGGACCTAACACCGACCCCTGCGGTACTCCACGCTTCAGTTTCAATGGTTCAGAAATTAAGCCATTGACCTGTACACATTGGCATCTGTCTATTAAATACGTCTTAATCAACCTTATAAATTCCTCCCCGCCTCCAATATAGTGAAGCATCGACAGCACAATATCATGGTCAACAACATCGAACGCTTTGCTAAAATCCTGCTAAAATCTAAAATCTGCTAAAATGAAATAATAAAGGTTTTAAATTGGTAGGAAATAACTTTTTCCAGTACTTTGCTCAAGGTAGGAAGAATAGAAATCGGTCGCAGGTGCTTAAAGTCAGTAGGTTTTTCGATTTTCGGTATTGGAATGACAACAGCAGACTTCCACTGCGAGGAAAAATGTGACTCAATTATGCAGCTGTTTATGAGATGTGTGATATATGGAAGGGCATAAGGAACTATTAATTCAATCATCTGCGCGAGATAATAAGAGGAGTATACTTAGATTTTCTGAAACACTATTTTGCTAGAGAGTATAAGGCCATTAGTTCTAGAATATATCGAAACATATGTGCCAACAGAATCAATATAAATGATAAAAAACACTTCTACGAAAAACTACAGCAAAATAGCAAAAAGATGCATATCAAAAACAATGGAAGACTAAGAATCGATAATAACAAAGAAGTGAATTATGGAACTATGAAGATTTTTATGTTAGTTAACATCCACTTACAGATAGATTTTTTAATGCATAAAAAAATACATAAAATTACATATGACTATCAATAATTGGGACATAAGAGAATCGTAATTTCCTAATAATTAAGGGGTAATTAGAGGGGCAGAGCATTATTTCTGTCGGACTATCTGTAGCAGACACTTCAATTGAAAAGCAAACTAATATGTGATAATATACTAAAACTAAATTGGGAATCCTAGATACAAGATAAAAATACGCTTAATGTTAAAGCAAAGATACCAGAATCAGAAAAAAAGCAATTAAAGACCCCCTAAAATCGAAATGAAAGGTGTCATAAATTTAAGGAAACCCTAATATAGACAACTATACAATAATAAGTTTTGGAATTAAAGAGGAGAATTGGGAACAACGACAAACCAAACGGTAAAACTACCACAAAACTAAGTTCCAAAAGAAGGAACACTTAGAGAACTGCAGAGGGAAGAAGAGAATGAGGAGATAGAAACTAATAATATTATTGAATAAGAAATACCACAAGTCTTAAATTCAAGAAGAATCTATCAGCTGCTGGAGGTGCCATCATTATGCCAGAAACACAAAAGACTGTGGTGTAGTTCTCACTCTTGATGTAGTTGAATCTCCTTCTTATCATGGTAGTTTTGATTGTGATTCTCTGGCTAGTTACTTAAATCCCCTATCACTCCCGACAATTCAGTTAAGGTATCAACAATTTTCACCATTAATGCCTCCGCTAATATCAGTTCCAGATTTTCCTTGGAGTTGCTTGACGAATTCCAAGTCCGCCGGGCTCTCAGACATTCTCGGTCCACTAGTGTTGGTGCTGATGGTGTCAGCATTAAGCATCTCCTTCCTATTTTGGATATAATCATTCCTCCACTATTCCACATATTTAAATTCTCCATTGAGACATCGTCCTTCGTTTCTATTTAGAAACTAGCTTATGTTGTAACCATACCTAAACTTAAGTGTCCTACACGTCTAAGGCCCACATTTACCACCTCTTGATAAATTTATCCGGTAGATAATTACCATGGTTACAGCGGTTTTAAGCGCTCTCATTGGCTAAGAGCGCCAATTTATCTATCGGTTAAATTTATCAAGAGGTGGTAGAAGCGGACCTAAGTGATTTTCGTGCTATATCTATTATTTCCGTAATTTCTAAAGCACTTGAGCGCTTGATATATGTATATGCCGGCGCAGTGGTATTTCGATGTGCACAAGATTATAGATTATTAGATTGATTTTCAATCTGGTTTCCGGCCAGGTCATAGCACGACATCGGCACTTATCAAACTTCTTGATGATCAGAAACACGTCTAACGGTTGTGATGACCTGCGTTTGACCTTATTGGTTTTGCTCGACTTCAGCAAGGCATTTGATTCTGTTGATCGTAGCTTGTTGGTGGCAATTCTATCTTTTGTAGGTTTTTCGCCGAGCTATGTCTTTTATTTTTAATCATACATCTTTCCTTGTGTTGTTCCTTGAGTGTGCGTAATTCCTCATCTTTCTTGTCTGTATTTACAAGCCGTTGCGGTGTGCCTCTTAGCAGTGTTTTGGGTCCACTTCTGTTTTCCGTCTTCATAATTTTGCATTACTAAGATAATTAAGAGTCAATTTCACCTATATCCAGACGACCTCCAAATTTATACATCTGCAGCTGTGGATGAAATTCCAGCAGCGGTAATGCGGCTTAATAGGGATCTTGCTAGTGTTTTAGACTGGTCTAGATACCATGGCTTGAATTTGAATATAGCAAAGACTCAAGATATTGCTTTCGGATCAAGACCTTTGCTAACAAATTTTACTCCATCAATAATACCCATCTGACACTTGATGGTAGTAACATCATACAATTCTCTCAAACAGTTAAAATCTTAGGGGTGGTGATGGATTCTGCATTGTCGTGGCAGCCCCAGAGTTAGTCTGTCGGTAGGAAGGTTTATTTCTGTTTCTATTCCCTACGCAAACTTGGTTGTTTTCTTCCACCTATTGTTCGTTGCAACCTCTGTTACTCTTTAATTTTCCTCCATTTGGACTATGCCGATACCGTGTATCTTTCGATTAGGCTCCGTAACAAATTAGAGAAGTTACAAAATAATTGTCTGCGCTTTATTTTCAACCTGAGAAAGTATGACCATGTTACACCATATCATAATCATCTCCAAATGCTCACCGTTGACAAACGTAGATCCTTTCGCATATTAACTACCTTATACAAGATACTTTCCTCTCAATCTCCAATTTACCTGTTCACTGCATTTCGCTTTCATGGCATCTCGCGGTCTTCCTACTAAAGCACAACCTGATGTCTCACTCATGTTTCCCGTTTATCGTACTGAAATATATCACAGATCATTCAATGTACAAGCTATAACTTTGTGGAATAATTTACCCACACAATTGCGTAATGTTCGTAGCTTTTCCGTATTCAAAGCTTCGCTAAGAAATCAGCTATTGTCTCTACAGTTATCTGGAACTGATTTTTGATGTCATCTGCTTCTTCTCTTTTCCCTCTTCAGCTGACAACTTTATTTGCTTTAAACTAAGAACTAGTTCGAAGTGACCACTTCGAACCAGTTTCTGAAGAAGGTTGCAACATGGCATCCGAAACGTCAAACCTTCTATTAAAAGACGCACGGTAAAACCCGGAAGTTTCTAGTGTTAGTTCTAGTTTTAGTTCTAATCTTAGTTTAATTCACACCGGCCGTGAAAGCCTTCGTACTTATAACTTTATTTGCTCTTTTCCAATCATTTTTCGCTTAATCCGATTTTCTTTCTTTCTTGTTTTTTCCTATTCTTTTTCTGTTATTTTTTTTTTGTTTTTTTCCATAGTTGCCATATTAATTCTTTATCTTAATTCCATACATACAATTGACCTTTTGTCAACCTTGTGTTAATGTTATAGGATAATGTATATTTTTCTGTTATTATTATAAATCTTGGTGGCCTTAATAATAACTTATTATTATTAAAAGTATGGAAAAGAAAAAAACCTCAAGGTAATATCTCTCTAGGTTTAGAGAACAGAACTCATACCAACAGACTATGAGACATCATTACGCCCATATACAAAAAAGGAGAAATCACAATTTATGACAAGTATACAGCAATATGCTTATCATCAGTTGCATGTAAATTGTGTCAAAGTTGTAGCGAAAAGAACCAAATCAAAAATAAATTGGACGATGAATTTTTTGTCTTTACAGACCAACCTAAGAGCATATCTTTACAATCAGAAATGTAATAGAAATGAAAGTTGACAAAACTGGGATAAATTGGCCTCTTAGATTTTAAATCTGCATTCATGGCCAGGTAACACGAAAATGATATGTGGAAAGTACAAATTAACCCCAAGCTTGTACGGATAACATAATCGTGTTTTTTGTTAAAACCCAACCGTCTATTCATATACAGCTTCTAAGATATATCTTGTATCCATACTATCAACAGCTTGCATCAAATGCTGCATTTCAGAAAGGATATATTTGGAGTAAATTTTTGGGCATTACACGAAAATTCGTGATTTCTTCCATCTTTTGCTTAGTGATGAAGCGCATTTCAACGATACTATATGAGAATTATCATATTAATTATATTATACATTGATGGAATCAGCAAAAGCGTTAATCTGTGAATGTTTGGACTGGAATTTATAGAAGCCAGATCGTTGGTCCATCCAAGAATTGGTATTCTACCAAATATCTTAGGGGACAATCTTTTACAACAATATGCAATAATGTTTTCAACATGATAAAGCTTTTGCTACATTACAAGTATCGAAAATTTTAAATTGCCGATTTCATAATATATATATTTAAATTGAGTGGGGTGGACCAATGGTGGCTAATCCATTTATCATTTCAGATTCTATAAACTAGTTTTATCGAGAATAAACGAACAATAAAAAAAAAGTAAATTTATTTATTTCACTTTGACGGCTTCGTTTTTGGAATTTCAGTATTTTTCATCTTCGCGTTATTTTTATTGCAGAATACATATTCGAAAGGTGGAAAGTGAACATTTTCACCTTGTATATATATATAACTTGATCACTACAAGATAGGCACCAAACATATGGATCTCTAAAAATTTCTAGGGTAAGCATGAGCATAACATGAACTCTGCCTTGAATCCTATTATTCAAATCGAAGCCAGATGTTTGAAGAAACAACGGATGTTATACAAAATCCAGATTATTTTAAAGAGTTCTAAATATTAAAATTAAAATCAACTAGAATAGAAAAAAAAATGCAAACAATATTTAATTTGCTTATGTTTGCTAAGAAGTTGGGAAGTTGGCAAAATTTTGAAGCAAATTTATTGGGATCCAATAAAAATGATATAATATTCTATTATTTTTTCAAATGAATTTACTAATCAAATTTTAATACAAAAATTTTTATCTTACCTCCATCTAAAGATTTCTTGTCCTGCAAGGAAACCTTTGAGGAATGATGTGATTGTGGGCCGGAAGAATCTTCTTCGATTTCTGAACTACCCATGCTGATAAGAGAACCTTCGCTACAAGTGCTGTGAGATTTAGTTGGATGGTCCTATAATAAAAGAGATTAAACAAACGATAAAAGAAGAAAAGAGAAATCTTATACTTTAACAGTATTAATAGAAGTCGGGTGTCTCGTTGTGCAACAAATTGATTATTATTTTAATCGGTATACGCTTTTCCGCATTGCACAGACTTCGTCAGGTTCATTCGTTGTATAACAACGTAGAAGCAAAATAGATAGTTGCGTTTGTTCGCGATTTAATAAATATTTATAAACGCAGAAGGTAAAGGTTAGTGATTTAATATGATTACGATAGTGGACTTACGTAAAGCGCATTTTTTCTTGCATTTTCAAATTAATAATCTTTGCTTTCATTAAGATTACGGTAAATTAGAAAAAAGTTGTTTCCTTAATGAGGGTTAACGGTTTTATCGATTTCTTTAAACAGTTATAAGAGCAATCAATATTTACCTCTAAATAATCGTTTGACACAGTTTTAAATACATTTCCACTTCTTAAACACAATAAATCACCCGTGTAATCAATTGCACAAAACATTTTTTTAAATAAATAAACACAGTTGTTTGTTCAATATTTGGTTTTATTAAATCTAAATCGCTACTAGTCATTATTGATACCGCCGCTGCGCTATCTACCTCAAAAGTTACGTTTTTACCATTTACAAAAACATTTTGTAAAAAACGATCTCGATAATTTGAATTTTCATGTAAATATAAAATTTCTTCTACATTATCATTATTTAATTCTATTTGATTCGCAAACCCCGCTCGCTTTCTTTTTTTTATACAAACGTTAGCAACGTGACCTTTCTTTTTACAAAAGTTACAAATCAAGTCACTTTTATTACACGTGTTTGCCAGATGGTTTTGCGAACCGCACCGAAAACAACGTAAATTGGATAAATTTTTCAATTTTGAACTACCCGCTAAATTAGGATTAATAACCTTTGACGTTTTATTTTGAACTTTTAAATTAGTATTTTTTTTATAATGATTTGAATGTGAACATACCGCATTTATAGTAGACGATTGTACAAAATCTTGTTTGTGTAGTTCAGCCGAATCTTTGGCCGTCATTTCTATGCTTACTGCTATTTCTATGGCTCGCTCGAAGGTCAAGTCGATTGTTTCCAGTAATCTCGATTGAATCTTGCCGCTTCTTAATCCAAAAACGAATTGATTTCTTAAGGCGGTGTTTAAATATGTCCCAAATTTGCAGTGGATAGAAAGGCGTTGTAAGGCCGTAACGTATTCCCGTATTGTCTCACCTTCAGCTTGCTCCCTTTTCCGAAATCGAAAATTTTCAGCAATCTCCAGAGGTTCCGGAGACCAATGATTCTTCATTAATTGAATTGTTTCGGCGTAGGTTTTTGAATCAGGTTCCGTCGGAGCGCATTTATCACATAAAATGTCGTAAGCATCCGAACCCATGTAATGTAACAAGTATTGCAACCTTTGGTTTTCTTGTATATTAAATATTTTAAATGCACCTTCCAGCCGTTTAATCCATCGACACCAATTACTTTTAGTTGAATCAAACGGTTCAATATGAAAATTAGTGTGTATTGTAACGTTCGGACTGGTTTGGGCAGTTTGAACCACGTTGTCCGCGTTCGGCATTTTATTAAAAATAAAATTTGTATCACGTTTTATTTTCGATAATTTCTCAAAACATCCACCGAGGCACTTGAATAAACTGTATTACTTTTTATATCCTCGTCGCCAACTGTAGTGTTTTTGTAGGAATGTAAGTATGTATTAAAACGAACGTACTTATTATTTTCGTCTTAATCTTTATTGTTGAGAATCAATTTCTCGAATGCCCCGTTTTACATCTCTTTACAATACCTCTGTGTCCTCGCACATGCGCAATACATATAATTCGAAATAAAAATATATAACAATATGTATATTTAATAAGTATTTATTAAGTACTTTCTAAAATGTTCAAAGAATGAAATTGTCAACGGTATGTTTAGAGTTTACAAAGGTAAAAATGCAACTGAAGAACCATAAAGCGTTTGTTGTTGTGTTCGTTCTGGGTTTACGTTCCGACTTGCTTTTAGCTTGGGGAATTATGTAATTGTACGGCTTTTGATTGCACCAGGTTTGCGGTGAAGAGGTGAGGAGTTTTCTTTCCTACTACCGGTGAGGTTTTGCAACGATTTCCGCCCCCCGACTACATGTTTTCCCAATCGAATTACGCGATTTTTGTTAATCACCTCAACGCGAACAAAAATAAAGACTACAACCTCTAATGATTCAAGAATAAAAAGGAACTACGTCCGGTTTTTTAATTTTAAAGCTTAACAAATCCTCCAATTTAAAATTCGTTTCGTTTTATTTTAAAACCACTCCTTTTAATCTACAAATCCACTTGAGTAAAGAACATAGGATGTAATTAATTTAGTTACATGAAGAAATAAAATACAAAGTGTTGCATGTTAACTTAAGAAAATTATATTGCCCTACTTAATAATGTATGTATTCGTTTGATGGAAATATTAGACACATATTGCAACGTGCAGAATAAAAAGAGAGGTAAATATTTGTGTGTAAACGGAAAAGCTGTTCAACGTAAACGCAACTTTGTAACTTGTGCCAGGATATATGTATGTTAACAACTCGCAAAATAGCTGGTTTACACGAAGACGATTCATCTTTTTCCGGATCGTGATTTAACACGAATCGTTTTTATTTTTGAAACTGTAAATTGAAACTCCTACGTTAAAAGCTCTTGAGTTTATATTATTTACGATGGAGACGTCATAATACAGAACTGTTCTGTAACGTTTTGTGTACTTAGTCAAAACGTTCTATATTTAAAGAAAATACTACATAGAATGAAAGATAACAACAGTAAAACAATATCTTTCGCAATGTAAACAATTTTAAAATGTTTATATATCTTTCATGTTGACGCAGCAAATATTTATTTGATATATTGTGCGATTCCAGGTAAATGAGGCTCTAATCTTGTAAAAAAAAAATTAAATAGTTATTTTTGATACAAGATAGCGAAATGTAAAAGAATTTGCTATATGATGATACGCTGTCGTGTATCAAACAACATTTTTTCGAAAACTACGTGTTCTAAAGTTTATAAATTAATAAAACGACCAAATTCAGTGTAATAACTAATGACATTTAGAATTCAATTAAAGTTACATATGTCAAAAACTTAATGTTACATCGACTTAACCTCACATATTGAACAAATGTACTACTATAAATTTGCATTTAAACATGAAATGAAATGATAAAACAATTAAATGTTGATTATTTTGTGTTTATAATTTGTTCATAACAATAACTTAACAATTAATAGCATCAAATTCTTTGATTCTTGTAGCTGGACGTAATAGTTATTTATATTACAAGTGGGCTAAAAGCATAATTACTGTACGAGTGTGGAGAATTGCACGTAGACAGAGTCGTGTAATCACCCGAGTACTGTAATTATGCTCTAGCCCACGTGTGATATACAGCATTTTATCTACGACTGCTAAAAATTACTAAAAAATCAATTTCTTTAAAAAAGTCTATTTGACATTTATAAAAATATTTTGAAATGATTGTTGACAATTTTGAATTGTCAGTTGCAATAACATGTTTACTCATCTGGAATAAGTGTTTCGAAATGTAAAAACATAACAATTAATATTTATAATAAATAGTATTGTTTCTCTGTAAGTAGATAGCACTTTTTCTTTTGTATTGTTGCTCGTTTCAATAAATTAAATCTGTTTTGATTAGGCTAAAAATGCGTTACGCAATGAAACCAGTGCGGTAATGAACTTCATTACGTAACTCAAATCACCTCAAATGAGTGCGGTAATGATGACTTATCCAAGCAGTCGTAGATAAAAGTCTTTTGCGTCCTAGACGTAAAAGACTTTTACGTCCTGTTGACAAAAAACTATCATTTTGACGGTAGCTAAGTACTATGCAAAAGTCAACTTTTAAAAGCAGTTTTCGAAAAATAGATTTTAGTTTCTAAAAAAAAAATGCAAGTATTATTAAGATTGGCAAAATTTACACTGCAGTTCTTTGTTCTAACTGCGTTCCTTTTTCGGTTATTTACAGCAATGAAAATTGGGTTGCATCAATACACGGTTATATTTTGGAGGTACAGCATCTTGGAATGCTTCAAAATCACAGTTTTTGTTTGGTATTGAGTGTAAACTGACATTTGAGTTAGGAAGCAGTTTCATCAGGGCCGGATCACACCTTTTGTGGCGTTCTATATTTTTGGGCCCCAAAAAGTCTAATATTACCATTTAACTATAATGATTAATATTAATAATAATGTTTTTTGCCTCAAAAACAAGTATTTATATAAATATATACATTCATAACAAATACAGACATTAAGGCAAACGGATCAATTTATCGCAATAAGCGATATCTTCCAAGAGACCCAACTGGTAACAGTGTATATGTAATTTTAAATAAATAATTATGGCCACCAAAAAAGTAATACTACATGATGTGCTAATAGGATTGAGCGAATGAGCATATTTGAGTTATGTAACAGATCGGCAGTCAATTACTACAAGGAAGGAACTAGACACAAAAAAGTGCAGTAAAAGATAGATGAAAGGCAGACTAGAGAAGAAAACAAACACGTATAGAAGTCAAGAAGAAGATAGTTGAAGAGATAGCAGATGGCACCTCAAGGTATTTTTTAAACTTATTAAACTAGCTGCATTGCGAACAACAGCAGGCAAATCGTTCCACAACGCAATGGAACGATTTGCATTTTGGAGGGCATGGTCCACAGAATCAAAGGCCTTAGTAAAATCAAATAACACTAGCAAGGTAACACAACGGTTATCACACGCAGATCTAATATCATCGGTGATGTTAATCAGTGCTGTAGTAGTACCATGCCCTTCACGAAAACTAGACTGGAACTTGTTAATCAGATTAAACTCCTGAAGATAATTCTGAATCCGCAAATAAGCAAATAGGGGAGTAGTAACTATATCCAGAATGGGTAAGAGGAATCTGAGTCCATTACCATCT